TCCTAGACTTGGTTACTTGCGAGGGGTTGAAGGTGTCTAGTTTTCCACTTGCTAAGTTTCTAATATAATTTGCGAATATTCCCACTAGGACTTGAGTACTACATGAGTCCAATTAAACTTTTCGAGACACAACGGGAAGTTTGAAGATATCACAGATATGCAGTGTCTGACAACGCATTTGTTCGTAAGGACTTTCTCATTAAATTCACGAAAACCCAGTCAAACAAGAAAATAGGGAAGAGGGAGGTCGAAGGTATATTTGAGGCATAGGAAGTTTGTCGACCCATGAAAGAAAAAAAGCGAAAATATTAGAGCATGTTTAATTCAACTCGTAATTGCGTGAACAAGGGAAGCGTATCGAAAAATCGAAATTTCCAGTAAATATACTGATACATACCACAAAAGCGATAGAAAACTATACACGAACTGCAACTTTTTAAAATTCTGTGCACGCATCAACATATTAGGATGGGTTTGTCTTACTTATTTTATTAAAATATTTATCAGAATATAAAAGATTTTGCTTCTGACACAATATTAACCAAAAATGTAAACAGGTAATTTTAGTACTCGGGAAACTAGCTAAATTAGAAGTAATGTTATAAACTTTTAAACAGTTAATGTTCGTTTACATGTACTCTGACTTCAAAGATTTTCCAAAGCACAGTGTTATTGGTTGAGTGCCTGATACTAGCAAAGTATTGACGTAGTCTTTATACTTAGAAGGAATTTCATTGTAGATGTGAGAATGATTACAAAGAAGAGGGTTCTTCCAAAGTAGACGGTTTTCAGCCGGTCGATTAAAGTTTACCGCTCGATTAGTATTATATATTTTATTATTTTATTATTATTTTAGTATATATTTTGTCTGCAGAAGCTGTCTCCATATATCTTTCTAAGACTCAGTGTGTGATAAGCTAAATGGAAATATAACCCAGATGTCTGGTTTTCTTGTAACATGGAAACAATGGAGACAGTGTATGTCAGTAAGGTGTGCGTAGTAAAGTCGAGACCAAAGCACTTTAAAAGTCCCACTTACATACTACAGTCGCAGAGTGAAGGTGTATCGGGCCAGTTAATGTGAGGGTGGAGATTTCACCTTAGTCACCTCAATTCACCAATGGCTGTTGAGCAGTACATTTTGTTCGCTTACAGTTCCTTGAAAAATAGCGAGATGTAACTAACCAATCATACTTGATACTACTTTTCACTGCCAACCATGTCTTTGATACATGTTCAGAAATTTGAACTGGTTTAAATTCCTACTAGGAAATCCGATTACAAAATGACCTGGATAGTTCCATTAGAATTTCACTAGAGACTCCGTGAAATAAATAGTAATGAAAATGTAAAATAATGAAATATTACTAGTGCATCCAATCGTTGTTTCTCTCATATTATATTTTCTAGATGTAAAGAAAATTTTGTTTGCTTATGACTCTTTTTGAATAATGAGGTGACTAATCAGTGATACTGATGTTGCTCTTATACGACTGCTACATCTCAGACTCGTTTCAGAAAATATACTGAGGTCCCTATTCTTGCAGGGCGACTCAATATATAATTATTAAGCACTTACCGTATGACTTAGAGGTTGGCATTTGGTAAAGAAATGTGAGATAGTGAAAAATATAACTATCAATAATTTTAGAAAACATGCTTTTCTTACTGAACTTTCGGTTTCAATGTGTGTTACATCCAATTTCTTGCTCCTTGATCCTTAGAAGCACTGTGTGTCGATCTATTTGCAATTCACGGTCCCAAATCAAGGTAAAACCAAATTCCAAAGTTAGGTACGAAAGTTTATTGTCAATTCACAAATAATCGACCAAAATGTCGTTGGCTTATTATAAATAGACGACCAATGTCGTTCTAACAACAATAATTATAATGATTACAGTTACCTTCTGTTTTATAGATTCCTGGAGCAAAAAACTGCAAACGAACAAACCAAGACAAACAGGAGTCCAAAATGGCCGAAAATAATAATTCAAACAAGTTCATAAGTTAAGTAAAACAAATATACCCAAAAAACACAGTGAAATTAATGATATTTATATAAAGGTTTTGATCAGCAAAATGTCTTCATTTCTCCCGTAACAATGTGCAGACGTCTAGATTCCTACTTTAACTACTCTGCTATCTGCTTGACAAACTCCACAACCTTTAATTCTCCAATACTGCAACCACTAATTTGTGTGTCATATTATCACAATTTACTTAAATTTTAGTGGTCAGTATAAAGTCTATCTCTACTTATCACTACATTGCCTACGTCACCATGAAAGGTTAAGTAGTGCTCTGGTCGCATCGTTGCTGTTTTTCTCTCTCTTTTGTCCCTTCTCAGAATCCTATTCGCAGTGCAACATCCATGGTGCCTCCATGCAAAATGCACCTTCCGTACACTCACGTCTAGGTCACAGCTTGTATCAGTGCGAGATTTTATTCCTCAAATATTTATTTTTACAAACTCTACTGTTTTAATTAGAATTTCGATTTCAACGTACATAAATCCAGCTTCTTACTTCGACTTCTCTTCTATCCACCTGACACTGCACAACTCTCCCTTCTTTTTGCTGTACTCCTTTATCTGTGCGTTATATTCTTATATTCCCATAATTTACTTTAATTTAAGTGGTCAGTATGAATTTTATCTTGACTTACTACTGTATTGACTACTTCAACATGACAGGTTAAGTAGTGCTTTGGTTATATATATACACTTGCCACACTGCTGCCTTTTCCTCTCTCTCTTCTCCTTTTCAGAACCCCATTCACGGTGGGAAGTCCTTGGCAACTCTAGGGAACATGCACCCAATGTACATGACTGTCTGGATCACAGCTCGTATCAAGCGCGTTCCATATGACCTTTCCCAACAAATTCACTGTTGATCTCGGCCAATCGCCAATAGAACCTATTGTGCACCTTCCTCATTTGTACTCTAATATTGAAAATTTGGCTGTATAATACTGTTTCTGTCAGTGATATGGTGTAAATATGCAATCAGAAACTGTCTCTTATACTTAATTTAACTGCTATAACTTTTACAGTAATTGTAAAAGCATTTGTGACAATTTGATCTAGCCTGTAAACTGGCGTGACTCTTGTAACTTAGTTATTTGAGAATAAATTATTATTATTATTATTATTATTATTATTATTAATTGACACATCCCTACAAATTCACTCCTGAATTTCGCAAACCACCCAACTACTCTACTGTGTACCTTCCCTATTTGTACTCACTTATTGACAATGTGACTGCGTCAAACTGTTCCTGTCAGTGACATGGTGTGAATGTGCTATCACAAACAGACCATTAGTTCTAATTTGGTTTCCCTAAATTTCACACTAAATCTGGTGGCTCTTGTAACAATTTGATCTAGCCTGTAAATGGCATGCCTATTGTAACATGCTGTTATCTGAGAATAAATAGATTCGTACTATGACGTAGAAGGTGTTTGAGAAACAGTTTCGTGAATCAAATTTTGCAAAATTTTATAAATAGCATACAACAATTACCCTTAGATATATTGGATAACTGCTCATTAGTCATTGATGTTTTCTCTATTTTCTAGGTAGGTACAAACGATCCGGTTGGATCTGATGCAGATATGGAAATCAAGGTCTGCATTATTACAAGTGAAAAACGTCATGAACTGTTAATCAACGCCAAAGTCGCAATTTTCAATACAAATGAAAGGTCTGCTCTACAGCATGTGTAAGAAACTTGGAAAATTACCATAGCCGTCACAAAGAAGATAGAATTACGTACTAACAGTTGTCTACACTAAATATTTCGGATCCACTGGCCAGACGCTATCAGCAACAACCCACTGTGGGAGAGAACAAATCCGGTTCCAATGGAGGAAAAATTAGGAAGAAGAGGAAGGCCAAGAATCGCATTACGCCGAGAAATAGAGAAAGAAATGGGAAGAATGAACAAAAATCGGACAGAACTGGAAAGGGAAGCCCACGACTGAGTTGTCTGGAGAATACTGGTCGACGGCCTATGCCTCATTGAGGGTAACGGGCGTAAAGTAACTAATCAAGTAAGTAAATTAGCAATAAGAACTAGACACAACAATCAGTTTTATGGTTGAAAAATGCGGGAGAACCAGGTAGGATTTCCTGAGACACTGAGTGCCTGCTATTCTATGACAATGAACGTGTAGACTGAAGCTGTGACATTTTCATATGTAGGCGTAAGTGATGCTTCGAAAAGTGACACGAAACAAATCTAAGCTTATCTTAAGGAAGATCTATATTGGGTTTACATCAAGCACATTTTGTTACAACATTCATATGAATACTTTCGTACAAGAGATTCTGTTGAGTGATCAGTCTTCAAGAGGACACTAAAAAGTGGTTTGACAACGGGAGTGCTTTTTGTAAGACTGACACTTAGAGCATACTACACTGAAAGCTCTGGCCCCCAAGACGAGCGAGGTTTGGACGGTTTCGAACTCACATCGCATTCCATATGGAAAAAACATGATATCAATGATCAACTCACTAAATACAACTAATTCATTAACGTGTTATCAGTGTTTCTGACTCAGGAGCCGTGAGGTATTCTGGTCAACAGTCAAGCGACAAGTTGGAATTAAAGGAAATTTTACCTTTCCACTGGTTATCATTACATTATGACCAATATTTTCAATCATAAACTATTTATTTCCATATGGAAAGTTTTTAAGATGAAATAAAGGAAGTGTTGTGTTAAGAAGTACAAAAACCACCGGCTTGCGAGTACTTTTCCGGCACTAATGTGCATTCGTTTCCATTTTAAATAACGAAGACTATGTAATTTACAGGAAAATTCAACATATTTTATTACTACTATGGAAAAGCAAAACACGTTGAACATCAGTCTGTTTAGACAAAGAATGTTAAAAAATAATGTGTATTATTATTGCAAATTTTCTTTGTCACTCTGAATGTGAAACGTTTGTCAGTTGCCGCACTTTTTGGCTGTTGCGTCACTTCTGCTCAACCAATGCTTTATCTTATCAGTATTAATATACTCCTATTTATTGGCTGCTACATAGCTGGATGCATACCCATATCTTTTAAACTCCCAGTAGTGAGTTACCACTGATTCTATTTTGTTGTATGTCTTCCATGTAAGAAACAATGCATAACACTTATTGTGTATACAGGCTTCGAACATTGTTTCCAGATTCTTCATGATAGCACGAAAAGTACTTGTACTGGAACTAGCACAGTAAATTTCTAGTCATCATACGAGGCATAGGTTGGGAATACTCGTTTGTTTCTAATTTAATGAATTAACTGAATTGGAATCGTCTGGTTCTCTATTTTGATTAAATCACTATTCTGTGTAGATTCGGTTATTTATGATGTCATAAGGTCATTGATATACCTCATTTATCCTCTCACTACCTAGTTTCATTTCGGAAAGGGCGAGTGGCTGGGTGGCCTGCTTTAGTCCTCGCAATTTTGATCTCTCAGTTGATCCAGCTTTCTCTTAAATCAGTCGATGGGTTCCGTTCGCTGACGTTTCTATGCAAAGGTTGGATAGTCAGACAAGTAACTTGTTCTGGGCTTGTGGACGTTTTAAGTTTTCTTGCAAATTCTATTTTCTGGAAATAAAAAATTCAGAGCATGTCAAATGCAAATTTACTCTAAAGTAGTGTAAAAACTGTGATTAAGCCACCTCCGAGCTTTCCATTTGCTAAAGGAAATAGGTTTACTTTCACTTTTCTCTCATGCAACAGCTTTGAGATTCCGGGAATCAACTTATTTGTGGTTCGTTCAACCTTTTCCACCGACTCTGTCCTTTTTAGGTCGGTGATAGCTACCTGTATGAAGCACTCAAGTCTAGGACTCACGAACACTGTCTACAAAGTTTAAAATGTTTACGCTTTGACATGTCTTTAGTAAATACTCATAGACGATTGGTATTTCAATGCAATATGCAATAATTACAAGTCTCGGCTGTTGATGACTCTTAGGTCATTTTGTTTCTGGATAACGGGTGGTTCAGTGGTGTTCACCATTCATTTATCTGTACCTTGGTGACCAATATGCATCACGCCGCACTTGAAAATGTCCATCTGTAACTTCTGAATTCTCAACCATTCAGATTAAATCTGTGGGACATTTTAAAGCTGTAGACTACTATCCTTATCTTTTATCGCTGTTCATATCTTGATTCTGTTAGCATGTAACAAAACTGCCTAAAGATAGGTTAGGAAGATCATTTACACACAGGTGGAACAACACTGGCCCCCGGAACTATACCTTGAGATACCCTACTAAGTACTGTTTCCAAGCTAGACTATTAAGACAACCTATCGTTTTTTTCCAGAGTCAATCAGATGTACAGAAATACTTATATATATATACGAAAAATATTGTACTTGTAATGATAACAGGTAAAAGAATTACAAACCGAGTGAAAGGTACAAATTAGTAGTAGCGAATGTGGTGTTCGTGTTAAAACAATGTCTAGTCGAGTTAGTATTTCTAGATATAAAAAATAGGTCAAACTGGGAAAATAACTTTATTAAAACAATACAATGCTACGTCATAAAAACTTGTAGATAATTTCAAATATAATAGTACTGAATAAGTTATACAAAAGTGTAATATAATATCTTTAAACCTTAATATTCTCCATTACCGCCAATAATACTCCTATCTCTACCATTATGGGGTTTGAACTGACAATTGCATCTGTTTGTGCTAATATGGTACGTAAGAAGTTCTACGTTGTAACTGACTTACTGACTTATTTCCCTAAAGATATTTATTCATTGTAATTCATTGTATTCACAATTTCAGTTGGACATTTCGGAATACATGTTCTGATTTTTTTTTCAATATTTATTTATTTAGTCGAAAATTCGTATACTCACTGTGTTTGGTGCTGGTCTACTTTTGGGCGCTGCTCTAGTTGTGGTAATTCCTGAAGGTATTGCAGCCATCTATAATTCGCATAAACATCAACATGTCAATTTTAATTCAAATAAGGGAAATGCTTTGATTTCTCCGAATTCACGTGTAAGTTCTCGTAGAAAAATAATTTTGTTTTCTATGCCTATTCCGATGTAAGGTTTTTTGTCAAATATAAAAGGACTTCTCTTTTTTTTTCAAAATATTTCAATCTTTTTTATAAAATAAAAAAAAGATTTCAAAGAAAGCTACGGTTGGCCAAACCAAAACATGACACGAATCCATGAAGTTATTGACAAGTGGTATGAGACATGTTGGTCAATGTAGACTACCTGATTGGGGTTCGCAAGATGATAGTAATCCATGGTTAGATACTTTGTATGATATGGCTCACAAAATCGTTTGCAATGGCGCAGATTGATCTATTCTTTGTGTTCTCTGACGTTCTTATCTTCTGAATTCTTCGTAACGTACATCTTTTTCTGGTTTAAATTTATCTCACTGGATTTTACTTCTTGAATAATTTCTTTAAACTCTAATCTCAGTTACCGCTACTCTTACTGCCTTTACCAATAAAGGATTTGTATTGACAATGCCATATCTCTGTGCTAGTGTGGTATGGCAACTTGAACTGATGTAAGTATCCGTATGTAGTTTTACGTTGTTCAGAACAACGCTAATCTACCTTCCTGTCAGGTTCCTCAAGAAACACCCTTCCATGGTGTGGGCAGCCGGGAAGTGACAACCGCCCTCATACTACCCGTAACAGCACACGAGACCAAATTGGTCAAAATCAAATCCTTTCTACACCCCCTAGTACCTCTCTCATCTCTGCGACTAACTCTTCTCACATTCATTTATCACAGAGCACAGCTAGTGCAAACGGACTGACTTACGTTGTAATTGACTGACAGACTTTTCGTTATAATAATCTTAATATTTAAATACGGATTCACTAAGTAAGTAATGATTAATGGTTCTATTTTGTATTGCAAGTTGAACTAAGTTGAATGTCGTATGTTATCGTGGTGTAATGCAGAGAGAAATTATTTGTTAAACTGTTAGACTACACAGATTGAAGACTTCATTTTTGTTTTAATTGTGAGGAGTTATTTATGCATTTATTTAAACACATAAATTTTGACACAAAGGGACTACAGAAAATAGTTGAATGTGTGAGTGGGCTGAGATACTGTTTCGCTACCTAAATTGAAGCAGGTGTTTTTTTTTAAAAGAGATATTCTCCAAAGGTCTAATCCATGAGAAAATGGAGCAATGTCAAAAGATCTAGTCCCATGATAACCGCTGACCAACGATAAGTTCATACTCCGTTTATTTCCTCAGGATCCTTATAATGGAGTTTCGTTCTCTAAGTTAGATATTTCGGTTGTGCAGCTGACGATGCCGTTCGGAAGAACAATGAAAGTCCCACAACCAAAACATCTAGCTGAGAGAATGAAAATCCATTATAATCATCCACCTGAGTTATAAATTTTCCCCACTATCCCTTTAGGATCCTGGAGCCCGTGTAGACCATTAGTTTGAAATTTTAGGGTTTTCCAACTTCCCTAGGTGAATCCTTTGTACTCACCAGCTTGGTGAACAATACTCCTCTAAAGAAAATGTAATGATTAGGTCTTCCTTGACAACACCTGACTTTCGTCTTGTAGACTACCTGGTTGGGGTCCGCGAGACGAAAGTCACCAATGGTTAGAGACCTTGAGTGACATGGCTCAAAATCGTTTGCAATGGCGCAAGTGCATCCATTCTTTGAGCTCTCTCAAATCCTAATCTTCTGGATTCGTCAACACCTTTACCTTTGTCTTTCCAACCTTATTTCACTGAATTATACTTCTTGAATAATATCTTCGAACCCTAGTCTTCTTCATTACCATTAATACCTCTACCATCTCTATCACTATGGTATTTGATTTGACATTTGCGTCTCTGTGCTAATAATGTGGTATGGCAACATGAACTTATGTACATACGCACGTAGTTCTACGTTGCAACTGACTGACTGACACATGATACACTCGTGACCGTATCAGTGGTATTTCAAAAGAAGATGAGCGGATTCTTCTCCCTATTGGTCATACCAAGGTAATTGCAGGTTGTAATGAGGAGTAGGAGTAGGCTACAGTTCTACATTTTTTCGAAGTATTGTATTCACCTCTGATCACAATTAAATAATTTATATATTCTCATATGTATATTCACACCATTTATTTGATTGAATTATTATAAAGTTTATTTAAAAAAAATATATTAATCAAAAAGTAACAATTGGTTTCTATCAAACCAATAATTCCAAGCAAATTATTGAATAATAAATAGTTGTACGATTAATTTTAAATGAAAATCAAATAAATTTGTGTACTTTTGTGCGTGCGTGTGTGTAAAAGTTTTTAGTAGATTAAGATTATTTGTTTAATTTGTGAAAGGCATGGAATCAATTGAGAGAATTTAAAAATCAAATAGTTTTAATTTCAATGACATGATTCAAAATCGTTTGCAATGGTGCAACTGAATTGATTGTTTGTGTTTTCTGAAATTTTGATCCTCTGAATTCCTCATGACCATCTCTCTCTTTCTTTTTAATCCCTGTGGAATATATTTCTTGAATCATATCTTCGAACCTTAATCTTCTCCATTTCTCCTAATACCTCTACTATCCCTACTACTATGGGATTCGAATTGACAATTCGTTTTATGTGTGCTAATGTGGTATGGTAACTTGAACTGATATACGTATGTACATATGAAGTTCTAAGTTGTACCTGACTGGATAGTATATATATATATATATATATATATCCGTCAGTCAGATGCAACGTAGAACTTCGTACGTAAGCACATAAGTTCATGCTGCCATACCACATCAGCACAGAGATATAATTGTCAATTCAAATTCAATAGTAGTAGAGGTAGTAAGGGAATTATAAGTAATCGGAGAGGTTAGGATGAGAAGATATTATTCAAGAAGTGCGATCAAATGAGAAAAGTTTAGAAAGTCAAAACTAGAGGTGTTGAAGAATCCAGAAGATTAGGGTTTGAGAGAACACAAAGAATAAATGCACCGAGGCCATTGCGAACGATTTTGAGCCATGTCATTCAAGGTCTCTAACCATCGATTATTATCATCTCGCGGACCCCAACCAGGTAGTCGACAATTACCGACATGGTTAACTCCACTAGTCAATGACTTCATGGATTTGTGCCATGTTTTGGTTTGGCCGCCCCTAACTTTCTTCCAACCTACTCCTACACTACAAAACAAAGTTCGTCGGTGGTTGGGCATACGTAAGACATGTCCCAACCACCTCAACTGATGAAGTTTCATCACTTCATCTATTGATCTGCCATTCTTACCTAGCACCCGATTCCTAATAACAGCGTTGATCACTCGGGTGTCCCACGGTATACGAGCAATGCTTCGAAGACACCTATGATCGAAAACCAGTGACCTACGAATATCTTCTACTCTCACTGGCCATATATATATATAGTTTCCTAAACCTATTTGACAGTTCGAATTGCCAATAAAACAATTCACAGAGTCATAAATAGTGAAGATTAACTCTCGATAAATTGAATCTTTAAATCACCGTAAACTATTGCTTATCGCCAATATAAAATAATCAGTTAGCTTTTGTTATTATGTTAGTTAATTGAAGGATTATTCAGCTATTTGAGTTTTGAATCTCCAGTTTTAATGAATAGTTGAGTGTGTATTGTAGAAAGAAATTTTGCGTTTCATTTTGTATATTATACTTATGCTTACCTCGTTTGTGAAACCGTGATAATGAAAAGTCCCAATACTCTTTGAGTTGGATAAGTTTATTTCATGCAACTGTTTAGGCGGACAAGCGTAAAGAATTAATACCCAATCATTGGATTAACTAACGCTAATCTCTGAGCACAGAACAACTGTGTAAGACAGATTTGCTTTGAAAATGACAATGGATTAGATGAAAAATAATTCGGTAGTTGGTATGCCTAACCACCTACTGCTTCGTCGACCTATGTTTTGTAATGTGGGAGTAGGTTGAGAGGAAGCTAGAGTCGACCGAATCAAAATATGGCACAAATCTATGAAGTCACTGACAACTGGATTGAGTCATGTTGGTAGATGTAGGCTACTTGGTTGGGGCCCACGAGATGATAGTATTATTAGATGGTTAGAGACCTTGAATGACATGACTCAAAACCGTTTGCAATGGTACAGGTGCATTCATTCATTCATTGTGTTCTCTCAAATTCTAATCTTCTTAATTCCACATCAATTCGATCCTCCCAATCATACCTTAAAATGTTCACAGTTCCTTTATATTTGTAGAAGAAGACTGGACAAACAAATCGTCGCTACATTATTTTATGTGAACTAGTGCACATAATCTGACTTTCTGTCACTATGAAGCATTTTATGTTGTTATGAAATTCGCGAATGTAACTCTAACGTTTTGTTAGGATATTCATCAAATGCCCTAAGAGAATTATTTTTGTAAGTCTAATTCTATTGGTCAATTCCCACTGGTCCATATTATGGTCGTCACTTCAAATGTTGTTTCCTATTTGACCTAATTGTATAAATACGCATTATCTGTAACGTTTTATGGTCCGGACCCGAATCTCTAGTACGAGATCCTTATCCACATCTGGACTCGGACCTTGTACTTTCTGGATGTTTGTAGAATACAGGTTCTACTTCATATCAAGTCTTCTTCTTTTACTCACTGGGGGGTTTGGGACAATCGGATTAGAATAGCCTTTCGTGTCGTCGGATTCTCCATCCTTGCTCTCATTTACTAACTAACGTAAACTCATAATAGTTCAAGCCTATCAAATTGACATGTTCACATGCAATTTTTTTTAACACATTTACACTTAAATCACATAGTTCAATCATTTGTTTTTGGAATTTCATCCATTTGTTAGGCATCCTCCACATTCTTGTTTTTCTCTTTTTCTCTCTCTCTGTTGTAACGCTGCTACGTATAACCTGATACGACCCAAAATGCTATTTCCAAATCTCCTATATATCAGAACGCAACACCGTGGGATGGAGTTGTTTATTGGATCGAATACAGAAGAGAGGTAGGCAGGAGAAACGGAGTTATTAAGTCTTTCAGATAGTGCGTATTTATACATTAAGGTCGAATAAGAAAGAGCATTGACATTGACAGTTTAGGACAACCAATAGAAAAGAACATTTGAATGACATTGACAGCCCAGATGACCAATAAGAGGCAACACTGAAGTATTTGACCTTGACGGTTAGAACGATCATAAATTCGGCCAATAGAAATCGACCAATAGGATTGTACTTCTAAAAAATAGTATTCTTAGGATATTTGGTGGATATCCTAACACTCTCTCCTGCTCTTTCTTATTTTTATTATCATTCATTTTATTTATTTTTTTATAGAAATTATATGAAGCAGATATAATGGAGTCAACCAATGAAAAACACCAGTCATTAACAATCAATCAAAACAGCAATAACAACAATCACAATGATCCAATGAAAATAGACGATACACATCAAAATGAACCTCCTGATCATGATCATAATCATAATGATAATGATAATCATAACAATAACAATCATAGTCATATTCATCAACAAATTGGTATTGCCTTATTATTAGGTTATTTATTTATGTTAATCATTGATCAAATGAGTTATACTATATTGGAATTAACTTGTTGTCAAACAATATTATTTAGTGTAAAAAAATTATGCTATCGTTCTATATTATGTATACCATTAATAGCTAAATTTAAAAAGAGCGCCAGTACCATTGGTGGTAATTTAAACAAAACTAATTCAATGAACAATAATACAACGAATAATAATAATAATAATAATAATACATCAGCAACAGCTATGAATAGTACAAATAACACAAATAATTTGACCAATGAAATAACAAATAATAATGGCCTTCATTATAATAGTTCATCTATTGGTTCAATGCAATTAGCCAATCATAAAGGATTTATTGTTACATGTGGTTTAGTGATACATTCATTAGCTGATGGTTTAGCAATTGGTTCAGCATTTGCATTAAATCAATTACAATTGGAATTGATTTTATTTTTAGCTATTATTTTACATAAAGTAAGATTTTATTGAATCATATATAATTGAATAATAATCATTGATATTCGTTGATTATGATGATAATAATAATATTTATTATTATTATTTCCTAATGATCGTTACTAATAACATATGTGATTGATTAAGCCATGAGTTCGTTTGCAGTGTTATGTTATAATAGTATGAACTACAAAGAGGAATATATATATATATATATATATATATATATATATATATATATATATATATATTGGGATGTTACTTCGCAGATGACTTGGCTTTTCTATCGCACACGCAACAACAAATGCAAGAGAAGACGACCAGTGTAGCAGCAGGTCTCAATATACATAAAGGAAAAAGCAAGATTCTCCGATGCAACACAACATGCACCAACCAAATCACTCTTGATGGAGATGCCTTGGAGGACGTTAACAACTTTACATATCTGGGCAGCATCATCGACGAGAAAGGTGGATCCGACGCAGATGTGAGGGCACGGATTGGCAAAGGAAGGGCTGCATTTATACACTTGAAAAATATCTGGAACTCCAAACAAATATCAATCAACACCGAAATCAGGATTTTCAATACAAATGTCAAGACAGTTCTAATGTATGGAGCGGAAACATGGAGAACTACCAAAGCCATCATCCAGAAAATACAAGTGTTTATTGACAGTTGTCTACGCAAAATACTTCGTATTCGTTGGCCAGACACTATCAGCAACAACGAACTGTGTGAGAGAACTAACCAGATTCCACTGGAGGAGGAAATCGGGGAGAAGTGGTGGAAGTGGATAGCATCTAACTGCGTCACGAGACAAGCCCTCACATGGATCCCTCAGGGTCAAAGAAAAAGACGAATGTCAAGGAACACATTACGCCGAGAAATAGAGAAAGATATGAGAGGAATGAACAAACATTGGACAGGATTGGAGAGTGAAGCCCAGGAGAGAGTTGGTTGGAGAAAACTGGTGGGCGGCCTATGCTCCATAGGGGGTAACGCGTAAGTAAAGTAAGTAAAATATTGGGATGGTGGAGAAAATTTGTAGTTCAGATGAATGATTGTGATGGAGTTTCATTCCCTAAGCTGAATGTTTTGGGTGTGGAGCTTCCATTGTTTCACTTCTGAATAAAATCATCATCAGCACAAACTTCAGGTAGCAGTAGTGAAGTATTCGAATTTCATCCAATATCTTAAGATAATTCTATTGGTCAATTCGTATTGTTCGTCCAAACTTCCAGTGTATTAGACTTCAATGTTGGTTCCTATTTGACCTAACTGTATAAATACGCATTACCTGTGACGTTTTATGACCCGGACCCGGGATCCTGATTCTCGTCTGGATTCGAACCTCGTACGTTTTGGATGCTTGTAGAATATATGTTCTACTTCATATCAAGTCTTCTTCTTTTACTCAATGAGAGTTTGTGACATTCCGATTAGAATAGCATGTCGTGTCACCGGATCCTAGATCCTCGCTCTCGTTTCCAATTAAGGTAAACTCGTAATAGTTCAAGTATGTCCAATGACGTGTTCACGTTAATGCATAACATCCACATATGACTGGTAGCTTTTCCTATTGATCAACCACTTAGAAAAATCATAAACAAACGCAGGATCAAGCAACATATCAAAGGGAGGGATACAATCAAAGTCAAGATGCAGACTGTTGTAAACGCGGCTACGTAAATCTTCAGTCCTAACGGCGCCCAATTCAAATATCACAAAACGACCCAAAAGGCTTTTCCAAATCTCCTAGAAATCAGAACGTAACACCGTGGAAGGAAGATGTTTATTGGGTCGAAAACAGAAGAAGAAGTAGGCAGGGGAAACGGAATTATTAAGTCTTCCAGATAGCGCTTATTTATACACTAAGGTCGAATAAGAAAAAGCATCAACGTCTGTGACATTGACAATTTAGGACGACCAATAGAAAAGGACATTTGAATGACATTGACCGTCCAGATGACCAATAAGAGGTAACATTGAAGTATTTGACCCTGACGGTAAGAACGATCATAATTTCGGCCAATAGAAATCGACCAATAAGATTGCACTTCTAAAAATAGTATTCTTAGGATATTTGGTGAATATCCTAACACAGACAACGACAGGTTTCAGGTCAATAACAACCAACCAATCAAGGTGAAGGTTAACAGAACAAGCTACGAGTCCATAGTACATGGAAAAATTCTATTATTTCACTTCTACTTGAAGTTTTTACTGATGATGATGTTGTTCAAAAAGAAGAACCATGACAGCTTCACAACCACAACACCAGCTTACAGAACAAAACTCCATCACAAATATATATATGCATATATATGCATATAAATGATAATTATTCGATACCTGTAATACATTTGCAAATTGTGTGTTTTATGCTGTACAAATTTTTGCTATAGTTAGAGATTTTACACATCTCAAATTGTTCGTGTTCAAATTAGTTGGTCAGTTAGTTGTGCAGTAAATATATGAATTTATTGTATTCGCAAGTGATTCAGTGTAGTTAGTGTATACACTGTTAAGTTGCAAATTAGAATGAAGCAAGTAGGTTTAGATTGAAAACTTAGTTGATTACACCTGTTACTCCTTATGGAGCATATAGACCGCCGACCACGATTCTCCAGCCAACTCTGTCCCTTATTCTCTTTTTTCCTTGCTGCTAAGTATTACATATTATTTCGATGTCGGCTCTAATTCTCAGCACCATGTGTTTCTTAGTATTGCTATTTTCATTTGACCTGGAGGATTTCAAGTTAGGCATTGTCTTATGACGCAGTTTGGCGATTATCATTGGTGCTGTTCTGGTATATGCAAACATTTTCACATCTTTCAAAACCTCTTTATCAAGTGTGATTTGGTTAGTGATCAATGCATCAGCTCGGATACAGAAAGCTCGATTAGCTTTTGCCAATTTACGCCGTTTTTGGCGTAGGCGAAATATCCGTTCGCTAACCAAAGGACGGGTGTACTGCGCAGCAGTTCACTCCGTCCTTCTATATGGATGCGAAACATGGCCGTTAAGAGTAGAAGTTGTTCGTAGGTTCCTAGTATTGGATCATAGATGTCTTCGAAGCATTGCTCGTATATCGTGGGACAACCGAGTAAGCAACGCTATCGTTAGGAAACGAGTACTAGGTAGGGATGGTAGATCAATCGATGAAGTATTGAAACTTCGTCAGTTGAGGTGGTTGAGACATGTGTTACGAATGGCTGACCACCGGCTGCCTTGACGAGCTATGTTTTGTGATGTAGGAGTAGATTGGAAGAAAGCTAGGTTCGGCCTGACCAAAACATGGCAGAAATCCATGAAGTCATTGACAAGTGGACTGAGTCATGTTGGTAGATGTGGGCTTCTCTGTGTTCTCTCGAATCTTAATCTTCTGGATTCTTCAACACCTCTAGTTTTGACTCTCTTAACTTATCTCACTGAATCCTACTTCTTGAATAACATCTTCTAATCCTAACCTCTCTGATTACTTCTAATACCTTTACTACCTCTACTACAATTGGATTTTAATTGACAATTACATCTCTGTGCTGATGTGGTATGGTAACATGAACTGATGTACTTACGTACGAAGTTGTACGTTGCATCTGACTGACTGAATGACTGGTAGATGTAAGGTTAGTGGTTGGGGTCAGCGAGACGAAAGTCACCAATGATTAGAGACCTTGAACGACATAGCTCAAAATCGTTTGCATTGGCGCAAGCGCATCCATTCTTTGAGCTCTCTCAAATCCTAATCTTCTGGAATCGTCAGCACCTCTACCTTTGTCTTTCTAGCCTTATCTCACTGAATTATACTTCTTGAATAATATCTTCAAACTCTAGTCTTCTTCATGACCATTAATACTTCTACCATCTTTATCACTATGGGATTTGATTTGACATTTGCGTCTCTGTGCTAATAATGTGGTATGGCAACATGAATTTCTGTACATACGTACGAAGTTCTACGTTGCAACTGACTCTGAGTGATCAATGCATTGTACCTAAGGATCTCGCTTTTTTAGCTGTATATGTTGAAGCCTACTCCGCTCGAGGTCCTTCTAGGGCTGCTGCCAATCCCATACACGGATAAAGAGTGAGGAGGAGGGTTAGGCCATGGAGTTAACAACCCCAGCCCGTAGAAAACTAACTCAACTAAATAACACGCTATCCAGAAAAACCAGAAAAAGAATATGTTGAAGCCTACTTATCATGCTTGTTCTCTCTTTTTTTTCATTTTCCAGATTCCAGCTGCTTTTGGCTTAGCATGCTTTTTATTACATGAAGGATTTACACGTGATCGAATTCGTCTACATATGATTGCTTTTTCACTTTCTTCTCCGCTGGCATCATTTTTCACATACTTTTATCTTTCATTATCTTCAACATCATCAACGGATACTGTGAGTTTATTGATTATTTGTATAAATTGTGTGGTTTTTTCTTTTAGGACTCGAACCCGTATCCCTAGTCTGGGATCCTGGTTCTCTTCTGGACTCGGACCTCGTACTTTCTGAATGCTTGTAGAATACAGGTTCTACTTGATATATCAAGTCTTGTCTTCTTTCACTCAATGGCTGTTGGGACACTCAGATTAGAATGAATAGTCTGTCGTGTCACCGGATCCTCGATCCCCGCCCTCGGTTTCCGACTAGGTAAACTCGTAATAATAGTTCAAGCATATCAAAATGACGTGTTTACGTGCAGGCGTAACAGGTTTTTTTTTAAAAAATATACAAATTATTGTTTATTGTTCATGTTTCTATGAGGTAATGAAACTTCATTAATCAAGGTGGTTGGGACATCTGTTACGTATGCCCCACCTCGACGAACGATAATGTCTGGTATATGCATAGGCTGGAAGGAAGCAAGGTGTGACGAAACCAAAACATGGCGGAAATCTATGTTTGGTGGATCTAGGATACCACAAAATCTTGGCTCGTAAGTATAATTGCGCTGAAGGAGAACACCGGTGAGGGCAACCGAATTGTATTTAACGAAAATTACAGAGTTACTCAGTAAAATCGGAAAACCATATCGTAAATCGTTCATTTGCAAAATATCAGTCCATCATCATATCGAACTGGACTGTTCCTGTTGCAAACAACATCAATCCATTGTCACTATTCATGCGTTTCATACAAATTCCATTGTGTTCCCACTCTTCCTTTTTTGATCTTCCTCCATCTGCTGCTGCCAGACGTTACGTTGACACTCACGTCATATACTACTTATAAGTAGCTCACACCACACTGGTATTAGTAATTGTTATATGGTGTTCTATTTTCTCTCCAGTTATTTGCAATCTATCTAATCATGCATATGCCAATTACCCAATCGTTATCATTAGATAGATTCATTCATGCTTAAGCTGTACATACATTTCTGAACACTTTCTTCAGGTCACTACTAGTATACCCATCACCATCACCTGTCTTATTCTTCACATGCAAAACTTCATATTAAGTTGATTAAGTACATTGAAAAAAAATGTTAGTGTATACATATAGACACACAAACACACACACACACATGTACGCACACACATACACACACTAGTATTTGCATAACCATTGGCAGTGTTTGTGTATAATTTACTGTTAGTATTTATTTACAAAATGCAATCCTATAAAGTATAATACTAATCACGTAGTCCCTGTTACATAATGTTATCAGTGATTATTGTTATTTGAATAATATCGAATGTGTTTCAATCAATGATTAGACAAACGAAAAATGTATAGTAATTTTAATGAGCAAAATTATCTGTATCATTCTTCTGTGTGAAAATTGATAAACATGTCATTGAACAGACAGTTATCAGATTATTAGATAATGTGAAGAAAAACGCTGGAAGTAGATTGCGGATACACTTTATGGAAATGCCTCCATCTATGTTGCACAAGACAAGCTGTCACATGAAAATCCGAAAGACAAAAAAAGGGACACTAGGAAGACCAAGGAACTTATTTAGAGGTAGACATCGATATGAAGGCAACAACTGGGAAGTAGTGACTAGGACAGTGTTGGATGAAGAATCCTGGTCGGCGGTCAAACTGAAACATGGCACAAATCCATGAAGTCATTGACAAGTGGACTGAGTCATGTTGGTAGTTGAGGTCTGCGAGACGAAAGTAACCAATGGTTAGAGACCTTGAACGACATGGCTAGAAATCGTTTTACAATGACGCAGGTGCATCTACTCTTTGTGTTCTATGAAATTCTAAGCTTCTGCATTCCTCATCATCTCCATCTTTCTCCTTCTGAATTTATCTCACTTAGTCGTACTTCTCGAATCATATCTTCGCTCCCTAATCTTCTTCCATTATTGCTAACACTTCTACTATCTCTATCACTCTTGAATTTGAACTGACAGTTGCGTCTCTGTGCTGATGTGGTATGGCAACCTGAATTGATGTACTTACGTACGAAGTTCTGCGTTGTATCTGTCTGTCTGTCTGTCTCTGATTTATTATTTCAGAAATAGTTGATGTCTTGTGATGTTGGAGAAAATTTTCAGCTCAGATGAATGATTGTGGTGGTGTATCGTTCTCTGAGCTAGATGTTTTGGTTGTGAAGCTTTCATTGTTCTTCTTCTGATGAACAACATCGTCATCACCGGCACAAACTTCAGATAGCAGAAGTGATGAAGTATTCGAATTTCCCCACGTGTATGACCCATAGCTTGTTCTGTTAACTTCGATCTTGGTTGGTTGCTGTTGACCTTGAATCTGTCGTTGTTTGCACCTTTATTTTGATTGATTGATTGATAAATTCGGTCCCTATCGATGTCGACTATAGTTTATGTCACAATTCACTTACTACTACTGTGGTGCACGCTACTTATAAGTAGTATATGACGTGAGTGTCAACGCAATGTCTGGCAGCAGAAGATGGGGGAAGATCAAGAAAGGAAGAGCGGGAACACAATGGAATTTGTATGAAACGCATGAATAAGTGAAATGTCAGACAATGGATTGATGATTTTGCAAATTAATCGTTTACGATATGGTTTACCAATTTTACCAATTAACTCTGTAATTTTCGTGAAATACAATTCGGTTGCCCTCACCTGTGTTCTCCTCCTTCACTACACTACTACTTACTGCTTCAATATCAATAAGCCTTGCATTGTGACACATTTTAAACTATAGTTTCTTTATTTTATTTTTCTCTCTGTTAAAGGATATCAATGTAGCATCAACAAGAACAGGCTTAGCACTTCTACTTTCCGGTGGTACATTCCTGTATGTTGCCGCAACACATATTCTACCAGAATTAATCAATTCCTCCGGTACTACTACTACTAGCCATACAATGGACTATAATTCTGCCGGTGGTGTACTACATTCAAATTTTGCTAACATACAATTAAGAAATTCCAGTTTATCATCATTGTTGCCTGACACATCATCATCATCATCATCATCAGACCACATGATGAGTGCATCTTCATCAACCAATTATGCCTTATACACTGTAGATAATAGTCATGAATCAATTATCATGTATAATTATCCAAAATTTAATGACTATGCTCGTACTGTATCACATGTGCATCGTTTAAGCTTGATGGAAGTGATTGTTTTAATTAGTGGTACAATTATACCAATTCTATTGTCTACAAGTCATTCACATTAATCATTGAATTATTGAATATTGAACAGAAAAGAAAACAGTTTTGTTGTTTTTTTTGTTCTATTCATTTCTCAACTTTTCATTGATTGATTTCCTTACTGTGTACACTTCCATGATATTTGCAGGGATTTTTTTTTCTTGAAAAAAATTCTATCTATGGTTTGTTTTCTTATTATTTAATGTAAATCATATCATTGAGCTTTTTCCCCTACGTCTCTCCCCTTTCTTTCAATCAATCAATACTGTGATATTTGTGTGTGACGTGTAAGTGTGATTGCACAATTGACGACATGATCTTGATGCCATCAACCAATTCTCTCTCCTTATATATATATTTATATTTTATATTCTTACTACTATTTTCCAAATGAGTAGTATAATTATATATGATGTATTTTTTGACTGTGTGTGTGTGAATATATGTTTTTTAAACAAGAGCATTCATTATCAGTGAGTGGTAAAACTGCTTTTCAATGCTTAAATTTCTAAAAGTTTAATAAAAGAAAGAGGCTATGAATATTTCTTAAATTATACTGATCATTCACAAGTATCTTGTTTGTTTGTTTTTTATACAGAAAAAGGTGCATTTCTTTGAAATAAGGAAAAAAATAGGTTAAGTAACGACGACGATTAGTAAATTATCCATAAATATTTGCAGTTAATCATTATTATTTAACTCATTCTATGGATTTTATTCCTTTGTCAATGAAACACAGTCCGAAAAAAAAGAAAGGTATAATAATTTAGCAAAGTAAATTTCACTATTCAATAAGTTTCAACATCTGGAGTGAAGCACGGTATCAGCTGGACAGTCAGGACGCAGCTGGACGATCTGGACTTCGCGGATGACTTGGCTCTTCTATCGCACACTCAACAACAAATGCAAGAGAAGACGGGCAGTGTAGCAGCAGCCTCTGCAGCAGTAGGTCTCAACATACATAAAGGGAAAAGCAAAATTCTCCGATGCAACACAACATGCACCAACCGAATCACGCTTGATGGAGATACCTTGGAGGACGTTAACACCTTCACATATCTTGGCAGCATCATCGACGAGAAAGGTGGATCGGACGCAGATGTGAGGGCGCGGATTGGCAAAGCGAGGGCTGCATTTCTACAGTTGAAAAATATCTGGAACTCCAAACAACTTTCAACCAAAATCAAAATCAGGATTTTCAATACAAATGTCAAGACAGTTCTATTGTATGGAGCGGAAACTTGGAGAACTACGAAAGCCATCATCCAGAAGATACACGTGTTTATGAACAGTTGTCTATGCAAAATACTTCGGATTCGTTGGCCAGACACCATCAGCAACAACGAACTGTGGGAGAAAACAAACCAGATTCCAGTGGAGGAGGAAATCGGGGAGAAGTGGTGGAAGTGGATAGGACACACACACTACGAAAAGCACCGAACTGCGTCACAAGACAAGCCCTCACATGGAACCCTGAAGGCAAATGGAAAAGAGGAAGGCCAAGGAACACATTACGCCGAGAAATAGAGAAAGACATGAGAAGAATGAATAAACATTGGACAGAACTGGAAAGGGAAGCCCAGGACAGAGTTGGTTGGAGAAAACTGGTGGGCGGCCTATGCTCGATTGGGGGTAACAGGCGTAAGTAAGTAAGTAAGTATTTTAATGCACAAATAAAAGAGTTCATTTATTTAGGATAGGTATTAATCTCTTCGAAATTAATGATCATTTAATATTTTTTTTGTAGATTGAATAGTCACTTATTTTCTAAATTTAGTAAGTGTAAATGTATGATAGACCAGATACTATCAGCATCAACCCATTGTGGGATAGAACAAACCAGATTCCTGTAGGAGAAGAAGCTCTGGGAATTGGATAGGATACACATTGACGAAAGCACCTAACTGTGTCACAAGACAAACCCTCATTTTGGAACTCTCAAGGTCAAAGGAAAAGAGGTAGGCTATGGAACAAATTACGCCGAGAAGCCGAGACAGATATAAGAAGAATGAACATCGATTGAGTAGGTCTGGAAAGGTAATCCCAAGACAGAATAGCTTGGAGAATGAATGCCTCATACTTCATTTGGCGGTAGCAGACATAAGTAAATACAATACACTTATACAATTCAGAGCCTCACCAGACTTTTTTACAAAATATTCAGTAGTATTTACCCTAGATGGTATGTATAAAAAAAATTAAACCAAAAATAGTAGTAACTTGTCTCTTTGTGATAACAAAAAGAGATTAACATATAAGAAGCAGGTCAATGTCCTAAGAAATGAGCCTATTATAAATTAATGATCATTAATAGTTGCGTGATCAGTTAAAGAAAGTATGCAGATGATAAACAAAAGAGAGAAATCAACATCAAGAATTATTTTGGTTAAATCATTGATTTTTTCTATATTTTCAGGTAACTGAATAACAACAGATAACCACCGACCTGATATTGTATCAAAAATATCTCTGTCAAGTCCTTGGAAGCATCTAAAGACACGATTAAGATACGCCCGTAAAGTCAACATGTGTGTAGCAAAAGTAACGATTTGTCTAAGTAAATGGTTCTTTTATAAATGACCTCCTATTGTGAGGTGTCTAAAGGCATGCGTAAAGAAAAAAGCTACTGAGATGGTGGAGAAAACTTGTAGCTCAGATGGATGATTGTGGTGGTGGTGTTTCGTTTTCTGTCGGCTGGATGTTTTGGTTGTGGAGCTTTCATTGTTCTTCTTCTGAACAACAACATCATCAGCACAAACTTCAGATAGAAGAAGTGAAGTATTCGAATTTCCCCACATGTATGACCCGTAGATTGTTCTGTTAACCTCGATCTTGATTGGTTGCTGCTGACTTTTGACTTGTCGTTGTTTGTAACTTTGTTTTGATTGCACCCCGCTTTTGATCTGTTTCTTGATCCTGTGTCACCTATGAAAGCCCCGCAACCAAAACAACCAGCTCAGAGAACGAAACACCACCATCACCACAGAAAAAAGCTTCCTATAAAAATAAAATAAAGAACAATTACGACGTACTAAAGCGTAATTAATGATCACAAGAATTGAACGAAAGCAATTATACTCATAAATTCAATAAACAGTTTTTAGTTTATGTGCATACTTTCGAGTTACACACCTAGAAATTCTCAAAGATGCGACTGTCTACTGAATATCAATGAGTAGTATGAATTCAATCATCAAAAAAACGAGAAAAGTAAGGTGAGGATAAAGACAATTAACGTAAATGAACTAAAAAAAAATTCCAGTTATTGATTGATTCTATTACATCTATTGTAGTCGCATAATCAGTTACAGATGTAAATTTTTGAAATTTGCCAATCTTTGAATTTCGTTGATTTATTGGTCGTCTAAGTTATATAATGCGTTACTTTTACTATCAGAAAAGATCAATCAGAATAAATTCCGTCAGAACGTTATTCAAATTCAGATGCTGACTCCACAACGGATCACAAGAGAAAAGATAAGACATCTCTCGAACAAATGATGAAATCTGTTAGCAATCAATATGGGGTGAGCATACGGTGAACGTTTATAGCTTTATTCTTTTATAGGTTTAAAAATACAGATTGATAAAAATCGTCCCACTATAGCTTGAAAGCAATTCTTTTTAGGAGAATTCGTACAAATAGGATTTGAAATAACAATGCTCCAGGAAACAATAATCAAAAAATTATCCAATAAGTAAGTGAAACTGGTCAGTTCACCTAAAATGAATATGATTAGAAAAGTATTTAAATACCTCTTATTGTAATTTGGAAATCGACAGACAATTACGTCGAGACATCTTGCGTGCTGAGCTGATAACTTGTCAAGAAGCGACTTAGTTGCACAACCTTTCAGACTTCGCGAACTAGCCGTTGCGGTGGACCAACAAATTCCACTCTAATATTGCTTTCCTACTCACTCATGTACCATGTCGAAAACTTACGACCCGGATTTTTTCATTCTATCCCTATTTCGACAAATAATCAACGATGTGTTGTGATTCTCTGACCTGATATTCCTAATACATTTACAGGCTACTATTACCAGCACATGAATCATCGACACTGCTCTTAGACACACATTACCGAACTTTCGTAATACTAAAATAGTTTTGGGATTGAATTTAGTCAGTCCTATAAAGATGATCGAAATTTGAGAGCCACCTAACATCCTTCTTTCGAAGAGGTTAGGCTTCACAAATAAAGGGCCTTATTCAATATTTAGCAGTCAAAATAAAATCAAGTAGAGTTAAAGGTGGCCCAGACTGGCTTTCAGGATACGTAAGTCGATCCAATCCTTCGCACTGTCACCAGATAGATGAACTCCTTGATAAATTCTAAATGCTCACTACTACCAAGCATGAATGCAGACATTGGCTCCTGCTAGTGTTTTGCGTTTAGATGGTCTAAAGTACATGAGCTACTTACAGACATTGCTAAATGAATGGTTGGAGTCCTCGAAATGTTAGTAATCGATCGTTAGAGACGTTAAACAACATGACTCAAAAAATAGTTTGTAATAGCGCAAGTGTGTTCACATTTTGTATTCGCTCAAAGTATAATCCTCTGAATTCTTCATCACCTTTATGTTTCTCTTTCTGAACTTATCTCATTGAATTATACTTCTTGAATAAAATATCTTCGAAACTTAATTTTTCCCAACTACTACTAATACTTCTAACTAACTCTATAACTATGGGATTTCAATCGGCAATTACATCTTTGTGTGCTAATGTTGTACGGCAACTTGAACTGATGTACGTATGTACGTACGTACGTACGTACATATCAAGTGCCAGGTCGCAACTGATTAACCAGACTAAATTAGTTAAATAATTCCATTTCAATGAAGAATAAAAAAACCCATCGCTTTTATATATTCGATAAATTCCAAAATCTTTAATTAATTATTAAAAACAATTAAATAATTAGAGGAAGAGGGGATGGATGGATGATAAAAGTAAAAAACAAGAAAAAAAGAGGAAACAAGGCTACACAATAATTCGCTTCACTTATCTCGGAAGTTTCATCAGTCCTGATGGCCTAGGTACAGAACGCTCGATTGGCTTTTGCTAAACTGAGTTCTTTTTGACGTATGCGAGATATCCGTTTGCTAAATAAACGACGAGTGTACTGCGCTGCAGTTCACTCCGTCCTAATTTATGTCTATGAAATATGGCCAATAAGATTTGAGGATATTCGCAGGCTGCAATAATTCAATAATCGTGGGTTACTAGTGTTCAATCATAGGTGTCTTCGAAGCATTACTCGTCTATACTACGATCAACAAGTAAGCAATGGAGTTGTTAAGAAAAGGGGTTTTAGGTACGGACGGTAAATCAATTGGTGAAGCAGTGAGACTTCATCAGTTGAAGTTATTCGGACATGTGTTACGAATGCACAATCAACCATCGACTGCCTCGTCAAGCTATATTTTGTGGTGTAGGAGTAGGTTGGAAGAAAGATAGGGGAGGCCAAACGAAAACATGGCACAAATTCATAAAGTCACTGACAACTAGACTGAGTCATTTTAATAAGAGTAGAAGACTGCATGGTTAGTGTCCTCGATATAGTAGTAACCGATGGTTATAGACATTTTCAATGGCGCAGGTGCATTCACACTTTATGTTCTCTTAAATCGTAATCTTCGGAATTACTCATCACCTTTATGTTTCTCTTTTTAAATTCTTTTCACTGGTTTATCCTTCTTGAATAATATATCTTCGAACCCTTATACTCACACTACAAATACTTCTATTAACAGTACCACTATGAGATTCAAATTGACAACTCAATCTCTGTGCTAATGTGGTATGGCAACTTGAACTGATGCACGTATGTACGTACGTACGTACGTACATATCAAGTGCCAGGTTGCAACCAAACTAAATTAGTTAAATAATTCCAAAATCTTCAATGAAGAATAAAAAAAACCCATCGCTTTTATATATTCGATAAATTCCAAAATCTTCAATTAAGAGGAGGATGGATGAATGATAAAAGTAACAAACAAGAAAAAAAGAGGAAAACAACGCTACAACACAATCATTACATAATGAGAAATGCACAAAGAATTCATTTTGAGAAAAAAATTTTCAAAAAATTACTATTATTTATTACATAAAAACATAAAACAATTTTCTTATTTATTTTCTTGTACAAGTGAGAAGAAGGAGAAGACAAGTGACAAGAGGATAGAGAAAGAAAGTATGAAGAACGAACTTAACTGGTTTTTCTCAAATAATAATTCTCTACAAATATTCACATCTTTCAAAAGGATAGAGAATGCCATAGGATGGAATGAAACCATGTCAGGTGTTAGTTGGTCGTTGTTGTGAAATCAAACATTAAAACTAGAAATCATAGTGATCATCATAAAACATAATTTAAGATACAATTTTGTTCAGGCATAATCATCATCATCACCAGCGTCAGCATCAGCATCATCGTCTTCATCGTTGACAATATCATTTCCAAGTAAACTAATTGGCCATTCAGTTACAGTATAACGTGGCAATGAACCTTCAAATAGACGATCTAACCAATTAGCCAGACCATTTAATAATTCACTGTCAAATAGCACACCATCTGTAATTTGATGACGTGATTTTAATGTATGTGAATGATTGTTGCATTGGTCATTTACTGCTTCGGCTTCTTCATCATCTGATTCCATACCGAATACACGACCGAATATATGCCGTTTACGTGTACGACATACAACTACTGTATCTTGTTTTGCACAGGTATCGGCCATGTCTGATTCTTCCTAATGGAATGAAAGTATAATTTGAAAAAGAAAATATGCGATTAGACAAAGAAAGAGGGCTGCGCACAAAATTCTCGGAGTTCTAGTTGAGAAGACGTGACCAATGGAGGAGTTCATCAACCCTGTCGGGTGTAGGCAGTAACTACTACCAAAGACAATGCTGGGTGAGGTCGCGCAAAATCCCTACTAGATCAATCAGAGTTAAACATTAACACCGTTGAATGCCGGCCAAGTGGTCCGATGGTTAGGCGTCCGCACACAATACCGAAGCTCCCGGTTACGAATCCTGCGAGGTGCAGGAGTCGTGGATGCTCACTGCCACTGATGAGTCAGTCCCTTATTAGGACGAAACGGCCGTCTTTCAGTGCTTCCAGGTTTCTAATGGTGCTGGTCTAACAATGATTGACTGATTGATGATTTCAAATCTGTAAAAAAACACAAATCTCCAAAGCTCTAACTGAAAATATCAAAAGTCTTGGGTTCGAATCCTGTGAGCAGTACAGCAGAAGTCTTGGAAGCGCATTGCTACTGATGAGCAGTCTCATACACTTGGATGAAACGGCCGTCTTACTTAAGTGCTTCCAGCTTTCTTACTAATGGTAGCGGTCTAACAATGATTCAGTCATCATTTCAAACAGAAAACTACGATCTCCATAATACTGTAATCCGATAAGAACAAAATATGATGATGACGAGGAGGAGGAGGAGGAACGCTGAGCGAGATCTGCAATGCGATACGTGCTAACCCTTCAAAAAAAAAATTGGCTAATTGAACAAGACAGTAAAAGTGGAACTCCTCTATTTACCTACAGGATAATATATATGCACGATAACACATTAGAAATTGAACTCGATCATTAATAATTGGCTTTCTCATTTATTAAGAATTCGTCAAGCAACAACTCAAAGGCGTTTATGATATATATTTCAATAACTTAGAAATTTAAACATTGGTATCAAGACTCGTATGAGATGTGTACTACTCGCAACGAAGCTTATATATATATAAATAGTATGCAGTGGATATGAAGCACGATCCTCTTGAGGATACCACTGAAGCGAATAGTATCGAATCCGAATGTATGATACGATCGTAGTGCTTTGGAGGCTAGAAGACTAGAATGTTCTTGTCTGTCATGAAGTCACTGGCAACGGAAATACTCTACGTTAAACAGTGCAAACTATCTGGTCAGGATCAGCGAGACATTCGTTACGGATAGTTAGAGACTTTGAATGATGAATGGTTAAACATCGTTTGCTATCTGGCACAAACTGCATCCATTGTTTGTCTTCTCTCAAATTTTAATCTTCTGGATTCCTCATAAATTTCTATTCTCTTTTAAATTTACATAACTGGATTATACTTCTTGCATCATATTTTCGATGCTGAATCTTTTCGATTACCACGAATACACTGCCAAAACCTCTGATAATCTAGGGAATTTGACCGACAATTTATTCTGTCTGTGCTTATGTGCTTTAGTAATTTGCAATGATGTACGAGTATGTGCCACGTTCTACGTTGTTGCTGACTGACTGACTGACAGATATTGACTGTTAAATTTTTCAGCGGAATTCATCCATTATTCATAACATGTTGACGGTAAAACCCTAAATCTAACTCGGAACAATGTGACGACTATTGAAGGTGCTTTTAAGGGTTCAAGAATACGAATAATATAGTCAGTCAGTCAGTCAGATGCAACGTAGAACTTCGTACGTAAGTACATCAGTTCATGTCGCCATACCACATCAGCACAGAGATATAATTGTCAATTCAAATCCAATAGTAGTAAAGGTATTAGAAGTAATCGGAGAGGTTAGGATTAGAAGATATTCAAGAAATGTGATTCACTGAGAAAAGTTTAGAAAGTCAAAACTAGAGTGGTTGAAGAATTCAGAAGATTAGGATTTGAAAGAACACAAACAGTGGATGCCCTTGCGCCATTGTAAACGATTTTGAGCCATGTCGTTCAAGGTCTCTAACCATTGATGACTTTCGTCTCGCGGACCACAAACAGGTAGTCTACATCTACCAACATGACTCAGTCCACTTGTCAGTGACTTCATGGATTCGTGCCATGTTTTGGTTTGGCCGCCCCTAGATTTCTTCCAACCTACTCCTACACCACAAAACATAGCTCGTCGAGGCAGTCGGTGGTTAGGCATACGTAACACATGTCCCAACAACCTCAACTGATGAAGTTTCAATACTTCATCTATTGATCTGCCATTCTTACTTAGCACCCGATTCCTAATAACAGCGTTTCTCACTCGGGTGTCCCACGATATACGAGTAATGCTTCTTAAACATCTATGATCGAATACTAGTAACCTACGAACATCTTCTACTCTTAACAGCCATGTTTCACAGCCATATAAGAGAACGGAACGAACTGCTGCGCAGTATACCCGCCCTTAATTATTATGATTAAAATCACATTATAATTATAATAATTAATTAATATTATAATTACAACTTACAGAATTCTCATCCGAGCTACTTTGTGAACCCGGTATTAAAGGATGATACAAATTGAAGTAGCGTCGATAACCATTGACAGCAATCACTGTCCCAATACAATTCATTGGATTGATAAATAAAGTTCCATGTTTCGTATTATGATTATTCGTATTCTTACTGTTGTTTTGTCTAGTTTTATTCGAACGAATCTGTATGGATGCATTCAAACGAATCGATTCTAGCAATTTTGCAAGCCAACCAGAATAACGATTCATTGAAAGACAAGCACGCTGAATTTGATTTCCACTAGAAAAAAATTTTATAAAGAATATTACAGGATTCAATACTGTCAGTAGTTTGATATTTACATTTTAAATAGGCATGTATAGTGTGCCGTTTTACTGCGTATTATTATTAAGTTCGGGGGTAATTAGCTCGTCTAGACAATCGTTACTACTAATTAGCGGCGTCTGACGGTTTATAAATCAGGTGAAATCGTAGTGTTGAATACGTTTATTTGGGATACACCACACAAAGCGAAGCGAAGAAGCAGTGAATAAAACCAATGAAGCGACGCGAATAGGAGAAGGCTGTTGAGCCAACACCACTCCTTGGATTACAATGCAAACGAATGGGCGAAGGAAGCGAATGAACAGGTGAAGCGCGTTGGAGAAGGCTAATGAGCTAATTCCAAGAGATAGAGCATAAGTAAGAATATATAGTCAGACAAACATAAGACAGACATGCGACAAGTGAAATAGGCACACATGATGAATAAAAGCGACGAATAGTTGACAAGGTCATATGAAAAGTGGGACACGTCATGTGAGCTCATCATACAAACCAGACATTAATAAGAACGAATAGTACATATAAATTGTTGCAATACAAATAAATGGCTTGGTTATATATTTTACTTAAAAGGGCTTAACCAAATTAAATGTAAGTGAACTGGAATATAATATGTGGCGGTCATTTATAAAAGTGTTCAATACAATGTGTGTTGGGGTTGTTAGATCCCCAGAAATCGCCTGATGAATGCCTTATTTTCTGGATTTCACGTTTGCGGGCATGGGCTGATCGGTTGACCTTGAAATTAGATTTCCCACCAAGAAAATGCTTGGCTGTGATTGGTTACTGTGTATTTTAGTGTGCGATTTTTATGATTCTCCCAAAGACGTTTCTATGATGTATAAATAAACAAGAGTTGTATGCTTGATTGCATTGTGCTTGCTAGGGTGTTTGTAGAATGTACTTTCTACGCTATATCAAGATTTTTGTTTAGTCAACGGACCAGATTAGCCTACCTGGAGGGGCTAGTTGATTGTCTGGTCGTAATAGTTTCAAGCATACCACCTAGTGACGACCTTACCAATGTGATTATATCATATCCCTAACATCTCCATCTTTTAATAGCGCCTATATCTGGGGATGGGAGCACGTGCAATCAGAAGGTGAGAAAGTGTCATGTATGAAATAAAGGTGAGAAGCAACAAGTGGATTCGACAGTGGAACCAGCTACAGAAACACAGCCACACACTGGCCACCGTTCCAAATTCTAATGGATACCACTTACCTCCATCTCATAATGAATGAAGAAGCCCAGAGACGACTAGATCTACATCTCAGAAGATCACAGCGACAAAGGCGACAAAACGACATAGGCGAGGATGAATAAATACACATACACTACAAAATAACAGTCATCCAGAGTTTTTCTTGTTGTTAAAAAAAAAGCCAACTTACCAAACTTGACGGGTTTTAAATTCGAATTGATCACGTAATCGATTGTCTTGAGCAGTGCCACGAACACATAATATTAATAGTCGAAAACCTTTCGGTGCATCACGTACAAGACGATCATATGTGGAAGGATTTAGGGAGATAACAGGAGTAACTGTAGATGATCTAGACATAAATGAAAAATAATAATAATAATAATAATAGTAAAGTGTGATGATACTACTATTATTGTTATCATGGAGTAGTAGTAAAGGAACAGAAGACAATAGAGATCTATATGACCAGACCAAAACATGGCACAAATCCATGAAGTCAACGACAAGTGGATTGACTCATGTTGGTAGGTGTAGACTAGACCTGGTTGGGGCCCGCGAGATAATAATAATAATCGATGGTTAGAGACTTTGAATAACATAGCTCAAAATCGATTGTGTAATCTTCTCAATTCCTCATCATCTCTATCTTTCTCTTTTTTAATTCATTTGACTGGTATATCCTTCTTGATTAATATCTTGGAACCTTAATCTCTCCGATTACTACTAATACTTTTACTACTTCTACTACTATGGGATTTAAATTGACAACTCAATCTATATCCTAATGTGTGTGGTATGGCAACTTCAATTGATGTACGTACGTACAAAGTTCTACACTGTCACTGACTAACTCTATCTATAATTATGAGTAGCTACCTTTTTAAACTTACAAACTATTATATGCTATACACTGACTGACTCATACACATTGACGAACTTCGGTAGCCAACATAAAGATGGTAGCCAACGATACTCCATACCTGACAATGAACCAAATACTTAACAGTCTTGAGCAATAAGTAAGAACACTACACAAATGACTACCAATTCCAGAGCATTACATTCCGATCTTGTGCAAGAGACTGAAAGTCTCTGTGGTTCGATTCCCGCAAGTGGCGGCGGCTGCGGCCGCACACTACCACTGATGCGTCAGTCCCATACTAGAACGAAATGGCCATCAAATGATTACAGCTTTCCCTAAAGGTAATGTCTAACACAGACCGATTCATAATTTTGATGAGTTTATAAGTTAATAAAAAAACATACAGACCTACCTGGTCGTAAGTAATCTATTTATTAAATCACATTATACAATAAGACTCTAATTATTTTAAAATTTAATCTGGTATATCAGTGTATTTCTCTTATTTATTTTGTTGATTGGAGAAAACAGACCTGATGACAGTAGAATTCATGCAGACAGTATAGCATACATATGCACAATGTGCTATATACAGTACATTTGTTCGAGAACAGTTGTCGATGAAAAATAGATGTAAGCTAATAATTAGTCCAAAATGATTTGTTTTTTCTGTACACAGTACTTAAATATTTTGAGGATTTGTTGGCCAGTTATCTCATGTGGAAACACAACCTACTGTGAAAGAGAAAACACCAGATTCCTACACCTAAAGGAAGAAATTAGGAAAAAGCTCTCGAGTTGGATAGGGATTACATTAAGAAAAGCATTCAACTGCATTACAAGGCAAGCACTAACTCTGAATCCCTAAAGGGCCACGGAAGACTAAAGGACACATTTGTTACGAATGCACGTAAACACGTCATATGATTTACTTCAACTATGACGAGTTTACCTTAGTCAGTAAATGAGAGTGAGGATCGAGGATCCGGCAACACAACAGGCTACTCTAATCCGATTGTCCTAAACTTCCATTGAGTAAAAGAAGAAGACTTGATATGAAGTAGAACCTGTATTCTACAAACATCCAGAAAGTACGAGGTCCGAGTCCAGAAGAGGATAAGCATCCCAGACTAGGGATCCGGGTCCGTGTTCGAGTCATAAAACGTTACAGATAATGCGTATTTATACAGTTAGATCAAATAGGAAACAACATTGAAGTCTGTGACATTGAAAGTTAAGACGACCAATGGGAAACAACATTTAAGTACGTGACATTGATAGCTAGGACGACCATTATTGTTGACCAGTATGAATTGACCAATAGAATTAGACTTACAAAAATAATTCTCTTAGGATATTTGATAAATATCCTAAGAACATAGTGCCGAGAATTGGGGACAGACATGAAAAGAGTGAATAACGATTGGATTGGACATGGAAAGGAAGTCGGAGGACATAGTGTAGGTTGGAGAATGCTGGTCGGCAGCATATGCTCCACGATATAAGTGACAGGCGTAAGCGAGTAACTTAAATATTTTTATGACTAAAATGAATATTACTTATATCATGAAAATAGATTCATCATAACTGATGTGGACAAAGAATATTCTGGGTGACAGATCCTTACATACTCTTGTCTTGAATAAATCATAAGTGTGTACATTGAGGAAAAAATTCCTAGTTAAGCTGAAACAGCTGCCCAGTTCTCCATGATAAAAGAAAATCACGCATATTTTACAATCAGATAATAATTTTTTTATAAAAATAAACTGAAGTAAAACACAAAACTACTACTACTACTAACCTTTGAGTAGATCTATACTGACTACTACTTGTACTGTTATTATTACTAGTTACATCTTGAGTTGATTCATTGAAATATTTCTCCGAAGTACATTTATTCCGTTGTTCATTACGCATTGCTTGTAATATGGTTGAAATTAAACTATATAATAATAACCCGATGATAATCATAAAACTTGAAAATACAAATGCCAAAGGATGATTTACAAGGCTGTGTAAAAAGAAAAAAAGCACAAAAAATCAATATTGTAGCAATCACTAAAGAACGAAATACAAAGATATATATTTATGTTATGGGTATAGACCTTAGGAAGGCCAAGGAACACATTACTCCGAGAAATAGAGAAAGATATGAGAGGAATGAGCAAACATTGGACAGAACTGGAGACGGAAGCCCAGGACAGAGTTGGTTGGAGAAAACTGGTGGGCGGCCTATCCTCCATTGGGGGTAAAAGGCGTAAGTAAGTACGTAAGTAAGTATAGACCTTCCACGGTATGGGCAGCTGGGAAGTGACAACCGCCCTCATACCCATAACAGCACGAGAGACCGAATTGGTCAAAATCAAATCCTTCTGTTATGGGTATAGGGATATGTTGAAAAAAAGCTAGGGGCGGTCAGACGAAAACATGGCACAAATCTATGAAAGCATTAGCAATTGAACTGAGTCATGTTGGTAGTCAATCAGTCAGTCAGTCAGTCAATCAGTTACAACGTAGAACTTCGTACGAGTCATGTTAGTGTCAAGAGTAGACTATCTGGTTGAGGTCCGCGAAAAGAAAGTCACCGATGGTTAGAGACTTTGAATGTGACATGGCTTAAAATCGTTTGCAATGGTACAGGGGCATTCATTCTTTGTGTTCACTTAAATTTTAATCTTCTAAATTCCTCACCACCTTGACCTTCTTGAATAATATCTTCGAACCTTAATCTTTCCGAATGCTAATCATACTTCTGCTAATTCTACTACTATGGGATTTGAATTGACAATCGCATCTCTAAGCAACTTCAACTGATGTACGTACGTACGACGTTCTGTATTGTTGTTGTTGTTGTTGACTGAAATCTAAGTCTAGAATATTTCCCTAATTCCCTCCAACTAGTAGACATCCAAAACGAAACAACAAGTAGATATTCAGAGTTGAATTACCGAATAAATTACTCAAACATAAAGGAATTTATTCCTTAGTAATCAAACTAGGAATTATCGATTATTCTGGGTTAATGTTGAAAATACATACATACCTACCTACATTAATTTACATTGTTAATATCACGAACTGATCTAATAAGCTAAGCCACCAATAGGAACTTGAAACTACTGAGCGGCCGATCCAATCTAGCATACAACTCCTCAGTAGTGCATATCCAAGAGCTCCGCATGTGGAAATCAAACCAAGTGCGGACGCTTAACCTCTAGACTACTCTATAATCAGTCTACTCATTCTTAAATATTTTTTATTAGACAGAGAAATAATTTTGTCAATCATACAAACTAGTTCAGTAATTCAACATAACTAATCATCATCAAAAACAGACGTAGAGAACAAAACATTGATTGGATTCGATGCACGTTCAATGAAGGAATATTTTGGAGCATGCCAATGGATGCACATTTCACCAATCAGCGCTAGTGGATCACTTACTGGAGAAAACTTGTGCAAAATTCATAACTACACTAACGTTTTTATCATTATGATTCCTTTGCATTTGTGGTGGCCCATTTCTGCGGCGGGCTCACCATTTGTAGTGTGTACACTGGCGAGCGAATGAGCGACTGAAGCGAATCGTACGAAGCGCGTTGGAGAAGGCTAATGAGCCAACTCCCAGGATTGCAATGCGAACAAATTGGCGAAGGAATCGGATGAGGCGATGTGGAGAAGCAGTAAAATCAAACAAATGAAGCGACGTGAATTGGAGAAGGCTGTTGATCCAACTCCTAGACATGATAGAGCGTGACTAAGAATATATAGTAAGACAAACATAAGACACATGCGACAAGTGAAATAGGCACACATGAATAAAAGCGACGAATAGTTGACAAGGTCAAACGACAAGTGGGACACGTCATGTGAGCTCATCATACAAACCAGACAATAATAAGAACGAATGGTACAACATATAAATTGTTGCAATACAAATTATGGCTTGGTTGGTTAAATAAATGAATCGAAAAGGGCTTAACCAAATTAAATGTAAGCGAACTGGAATGTTATATGTGGAGGCACTACACATTCAACTCAATTTGTTAGCGAGTACTTTGACTACCGGTTATTAAACCTTATTCTGATTCGGGAGGCTAATTGAGCGACGTACTATATCCCAAGAATATATACAAAATAATAAAAAAGTTGAATTAGAGTTAAACAATAACACCGTTAGATACCGACGACTTAGCAGTGGTCCAAAGGTTAAGCGTTCGTAAGCAAGATCGAAGGTCCTGGGTTCCAGTCCTGCGAGTCGTGGATGCGCAGTACCACTGATGAATAGTCACATACACTAAAACGAAACGGCCGTCTTTCTTCAGTGCTTTCAAGTTTCTAATGTGTTATGCTCATCATTTGATATATGCTTGAAACTATTACAAGTTCACTTTAGTCGATAAACGAGAATGAGACAATAAACCAGTGACACGGTAGGCTACTCTGATCCGTTGCCCCAAACTAACTGACGGAAAAGTCTTGATACAGCGTAGAAAGTGTATTCTATAAACACCCAGCAATCACACAATACAATCAAGCACACAAATCACGTTTATTTATACATCTTAGAAACGTCCTTGGAAGAGTCACAAAAATAGCATACTAAAATAACACAGTAACCAATTACAGCCAAAGATTTTCCTGGTGGGAAATGTGATCTCAAGGTCAACTGGTTCAATCCATGAATAAAATCCAAAATTAAGGCCTTTATCAAGTGAGTTCTGAGAATCTAACATCCCCCAACGTAATCATGGTAGTCTAACAATTATACTCATTCATAATGAGTATCATGATACTCATTCATAACCCGACCGAAGCTACTACCTTGACGTGGTGGTCGGACTTGCCTATCGTGATGACCCAACCGAGCTATATTGACTGGAACTTATGTTCCTGAAGGTTCTACCATGCCAGGCTGGTCGATTGGAGAGCGATGAGACTAAAAGCAACTACCCAAGGTCTGAGGGTGCTAGCGGGACATAGATGGAATTGAAGCACGACTACGTTGCTGCGCGCTGATTGGCTAATTTCCTATCCAATCAGCGCCTGATCGAAGCTTGGAGAACAGGATAGAAAATTCTCGTATTATTAGCTGCATGCTGATTGGTCAAATCCAGTCCAGTCGATCATGTGAATTTTTTTCCAGAAGCTTTCTCATGAAAAGGCTATAAATAGACTTGCATTGTATTTATTTTTGCCTTCTTAGCCTTCTAGCCTTCAAGCCTTCTTCGCCTTGGCTTTCGCCATCACCTCCGGCTTCTTTTCCTTGCTATTTTGGAATACAATCCTTCCTGTTCAACCGTGTTTTGATTTGTGTTACTTGTCCAGTGTTTTGTGTCAAGAATACTAAGCAATAAGATTTAGCCGGGAAATATCGTTAAGCAACCGTTACAACAGAGGGCGAAGTCGTACTGCTGACTGACTGTAGAGGGGTGTGACATCAGTAAGGTGTTTCCCTCGGACAACCAGCATCTGCAGCGATTCTGCCTCCTCACAAGGAAGGAAGGGTTAGAAAAGGTCAACCTTAAGAAGGTCACACCTCACCCTACCTGACGGATTTCCGCATCCTTGGGTAAGGGTGCCCACTAAGGGCCTTTAAGAGCGGAGCTAATCCTCAAAATACCTTTCATAAAAAGGCCATGCGTGACCGGCCTGAAGCAGTTGTCCCCTGGGCTCTGCGGTCACGCACCCAGGTCTCCAAGACCAACGCTAATCTATCTTCCTTTTCAGGTCCCTTCCACGGTGTGGGCAGCCGCCAGGAAGTGATAACCGCCCCCTCATACCCGTAACCCGCACACACGAGAGACCAATTTGGTCAAAATCAAATCCTTTCTGACTGACTCATTCATTTCATAATAAACAAACAATCAAATAACAATCAAACTTACTCAAATATTATATGTCCAATATCTAAACCAATTTGTAATAAACGATTTCTTATACGTATCCATATTGTAGCTACTAATTCATCAATTATTAATTCTTCAATAATACAATTTTTTAATAAATACCATTGATACAATGTGAATTTTTCCTCGGAATTAATTAATTCCTCTGATATAATAGGATTATCGAATTGATTTGTTGTTGTAGTAGTATTTAAAGTTTGAATAATATTTTTTAAATCATTTATTAAAGCTGTATGCATTTGTTTAGCAGATTTCAATAAATTGTTTTGGAAATTTTCTGATTTTAATGCACTGTGGTGTTTCATTGCATTATAATGTGCTTTTGGATGAGATAATGAATTCGTTGGTAAAAGTTGATAAATTGTTTCAGTTGAACTAATACGCCAAATTAATGCTAAACGACCAATATTATCTAAAATAATCAATGAAGAGATAAGAAACGAAGTAATAACTTTGTAAAAATAGATAGGTATAACAATAATAATAATAATAATAATAAGCAGATCAGATCATTAGATGAAGTATTGAAACTTGTTCATCAGTTGAAGTGGTGGTTGGGATATGTGTTACCGAATAATGCCCAATCAACCATCGCTTATTGACTTGTATTATGCTGATGATGATGATGATGATGATGATGAGTCCTACTTGGTGAAGACGCTGACAAAATGCAGAGTCTTCTGACTACCATATGCAACAATGCAAGCATGTTCGGGATGCGGTTTCCCCCACCCTCGGAAATGCAAAATGTTGCTTCAAGACTGGGTTGCATCGAAACCTGAACTAGTGATAGGGAGTGAAGTAGTCGAGCGTGTTGACCGCTTCACTTATCTTGGGAGTCTCATCAGTGCCGATGGCCTGGTGACTGACGAAATCTCAGCTCGGATACAGAAGGTTCGATTGGCTTTTGACAACTTGCGTCACTTATCGCGTAGGCGAGATATCCGTTTGCTGACTAAAGGACGAGTGTACTGTGCAGTAGTTCGCTCCGTTCTCCCATATGGCTGTGAAACATGGCCAGTGAGAGTAGAAGATATTCGTAGGTTACTAGTTTTCGATCATAGGTGTCTTCGAAGCAGTGCTCGTATATCGTGGGACACCCGAGTGAGCAACGCAGTTATTAGGAATCGGGTACTAGGTAAGAATGGCAGATCAGTAGATGAAGTATTGGAACTTCATCAGTTGAGGTGGTTGGGACATGTGTTACGTATGCCTAACCACCGACTGCCTCGACGAGCTATGTTTTGTGGTGTAGGAGTAGGTTGACAAGTGGACTGAGTCATGTTGGTAGATGTAGACTACCTGGTTGGAGTCCGCGAGACAATAGTAACTGATGGTTAGAGACGCTGAATGCCATGGTTCAAAATCGTTTGCAATGGTGCAGGTGAACCCACTGTTTACTTCCTCTCAAATTCTATTCTTCTGAATTGTTCATGATCTTTATCTTACTCTTTTTAAATTTACTTCACTGGATTATACTTGTTGAATGATATATTCGATCCTCAATCTTCTCCATTACTGTGCCGAGAATCGGGAGCATACATGAAAATTATGAACAGCGATCGGGTGGAACTGAAAACCAAGGCTCAGGACAGAGAGGGTTGGAGAACACTGGTCGGCAGCCTGTGCTCGGTTAGGGGTAACACGTGCAAGCAAGTAATACATGACTGTGATAATCAATAATTAAGGAACATAAGGTAACATAACTTAGTTTTATTGAAATTTTGAGCTGATCAATGTTAGTTAGATCCTCGTTTGACACCTGTAAGAACTAAGCTGCCGTTTCATCCTATTATGGGACTCATCAGCAGTGGATGCACATTGCTGAAACCGAAAGTTCCGGGGTTTGATTGCCGCTCTTAGGGTCGTGTATGTAAACTGCCGATGAGTTCCATTATGGGACGAAACAGTCGTACAGTGGTTCCAAGTTTCGAATGGTGATCTAGCATTGATCGACGATCAAAACAACTGTATAACATAACATAATTTAAAATAAATCTTAATGAAATAAAATCGTTTACTTTTAAGTATCTTTGAGATTTTGAGTTTCACGATTATTTTAAACTCTCTCTCTTAGATTTCATGAACTAACTAATTCTTTTTAAAATATTAAAGATTCCCATTGTGAAAATCAGAACAACACATGTAAGCGAATATTATTGGTTTTTAAGTAGATCGTCGTCATCAGGCCTCATTGTCTGATATACATGAATGATTTATGATGAAAATATTAAACCAATCAAGGCAATTTATGAGTCAATAATCACAATGAAATGGATTACGTCAATACACATAACAGGTGGAAAAGTACAAGGTGATAATAGTAGAAGAAGACAGGTGTACTGATAATAATATTGTGGTAACAATGATAAAAACACGATAACTAAAGTTCTTTGTCAACGTAGTTCAACAATGGATGAAGTAGTGTAGGTCAAATTTGGATATAAATAGACTTAAAATAATCATCACCAAAACATTAAAACCATTACGCGTAATAAGAAGTGCGTAATAATAATTAGAATATGAACGAAAAGAGGCCATAAAAATTACAAACAGCTACAAGATGTGAAAATAATGCTATTGATAACAACAGATAAAAATGTAAACAAGAAGTTGTAATCGATTGTTAAGTTATATCCAGTTAATCAGTTAGCTATAATATAGAACTTTGTACACATGTACATCAGTTCAAGTTGCCATATGACATTTGCACACACAGAGATGCAATTATCGATTCAAAGCCTCTATAGTGGTAGAGGTGATATACTAGTATGAGCACTAATCAGAAAGATTAGGGTTCGAAGATGTTATCCAAAAAGTATAATCTAGTCAAATAGATTAGAGACGAGAAATATGTAGGACATGAAGAGTTTAGATTAGAATTTTAGAGTACACGAAGAATGGATGCACCGACGACATTGCAAACCATTTTGAGCCATGTTACATTCAAACTCTCTAAGTATCGGTTCCTACTATCTCTCCAACCCTAACCTGACAGACAGACAGACACAACGCAGAACTTCGTACATAAGTACATCAGATCAGGTTGCCATACCACATCAGCACACAGACGTAACTGTCAGTTCAAATTCAAGAGTGATAGCGATAGTAGAATTATTAGCAGTAGTAATGGAGAAGATTAGGGAGCGAATATATGATTCGAGATGTATAATTCAGTGAGATAAATATAGAAGAAGAAAAGTAGAGATTATGAAAAATTCAGAAGGTTAGAATTTGAAAGAATACAAAGAGTGGATGCACCTGCACCATCGCAAACGATTCTAAGCCATGTCATTCAAGGTCTCTAACCATTGGTGACTTTCCTCCCGCGGACCCTAACCAGATAGTCTACATCTACCAACATGACTCAGTCCACTTGTCAGTGACTTCATAGATCTGTTCCATGTTTTGGTTTGGCCACCCCTTAACTCCCCTCCAATCTACCCCTACACTACAAAACATAGCTCATCGAGGCAGTCGGTGGTTAGGCATCCGTAACACATGTCCCAACCACCTCAACTGATGAAGTCAGGTATACACATTAACTATTAAGTCTACAATAGACATGTTTAAAACTCACCTTCATTCAACAAATTACATGATTCATTTAAACAATTCGATGATTTACTTAATGCTTGCATAAAATTCACTTGACGATCTACATAAATATGTACAGGTATAAAATGATAATTATACAATTGTTTCGTAGTATGATATAATTGTAACAAATCTTTTTGAGATAATTGTAAAGTATGACGTAGCATAGTTAACCAAATATCACCAAAACTATACAACTGTTCAACATTGGCTAATTTTGAATTTAACAGTAGTACCAAACATAAATGACGATGATTTGATTGGTCATTGCTGAACATGGTTGATTGTTGTGTATAACGTTTATGATCCGATTCATAAGCATATTTACTAGCTGGTTTTGTTCCATCAGTTGGGCATAAATCCAATAGACGTGCACGACTATATATTCGAGGTATAGTTAGCTGACTATAAGATAACATTGCATTATCTAATAAAGTAGAGGATAATTTTGTTGCCGACTGACGATAAACCGGTTGACTGGAATCTTCATGATAGATCAGTAAAGTTTCCTATGTGAAAAAGGATGTTTTTTTCAAAAAAAAAACAACTTAAAAATTAAAATCGATTGTGTTCATTTTATAGAATAATGATATTTAGAGGTAGAAAAGTGTTTTTTATTAAAAAAAAAATTGAATTCATTTAATCAAGTTGTAAAAACTGTCAAAAATTAAAAATTTGAAATTATGAACCAATAGAAGTTAGACCACCATTAAGAACCTGGATGTAATGAAAGACGAACGTTTCGTCCTGGTATGGGACTCACCAGCAGTGCGCATCTTGCACCTCGCAGGATTCGAACCCAGGACCTTCGGTCTTGCGCGTCAACACCTAACATCTGGACCACTAAGCCGGTATCTAACGGTGTTAATGTCTAACTTCGATCAAAAATTAAAAAGATTTTAATGTCCATTGATCAGTCAGTAAGTGTCAGTTACAACTTAGGACTTCGTACGTACATCAGCGCAAGTTGCGACACCACATCAGGCACAGATGCAATTGTCAATTCATATCCCATATTAGTAGAGGTAGTAGTGAGAAGACTGAGGCAGGCTCGATAGATTGTATTTGGCAAATTTACACTCTTAGTCAATTAAAAACGAAAACATCACATTGAACACCCTATTTGCACACCATCTTTGAGTCCTGACTTCCAACGCTCCAGCCTTCTTTCATTCCTGCTGTTGCTTCCTTTACTTCCTGTCGGTGCTCTATTTATTTCTTGATTTTGCTCTATTTGCTTTCCGTTTTCCTCTTCTGACCGTGAGACTTCTTCTTTCACGTCCATTCTTATACTACTTATATCGTTCGTATAAGTAGCACACACCACAGTAGAAGTATGAGTAGTATTCGGAAAGATTACGATTTAGCGATATTACGGAGTATAATGCAGCGAAATAAATTTGAGAAGGGAAAGATGGTGATGAGGAGGAATACAGAAGGCTAGAATTTGACAGAAGACAAAGAATGGACGCATCCGCGCCATTGCAAGTGGTTATGAGTCATATCACATTTTAAGTGTCTAACCATCGGTTACTATTGTCATGCGCACGCCAGCTAGGTAGGTAGTCTACACCTACCAACATGGCTCAGTCCAGTTGTCAATGTTTCCTTAAGTGTCGTCAATGCTACTAGACTAGCATTGGAAACCTGGAGGTAATGGACAGTTGCTTCGTCCAAGTAATAAGACCCCTCAACAAAGTACACCCATGACACAGGAAGCAAGAAGAGAAATAAGGAGCTTCGATCCGATGAGCAAACGACTGGCCTGTTGACTATTGAGTCAGCATCCAGCGGTGTTGATGTCTAATTGATCGAAAGTTCTGGATTCGATTCATACTTGCTGTGTCATGGATGTACACTGTTGTGGAGTCTCACACCACGACGAAACGACTGTCCAGTGCTTGAAGGTTTCCAATGAGCAGTTCATGATTTTAACAAGACTCAACAATCTCCACGATGTTATATTAATGATAAAACTACACATTTAAAAAATCACTCGTTCATTTATTTTGAACAAGATGATAATAAAGGCTTAGAAATTCCAGATATATATTCAAAATTCAAGTTGAATTGACTACTGAACTAAAGCACAGATGCACAACACTATGTTTTTGATATTCATTCGGATTGTGACAGACATCTGAGAGATTTGGAAAATCGGAAGATGAATTTTGAATGACTAAAAACATTTTATTTCATGACAGTACAATTTTGAGAAGTTTTAAACTAGAATTAAACTAAATATATAAGAATCTGTTTTCAAATGTTTTCGATTGAATTGTAGCTGCATTAAACTCTGATGCAGGGTTCATCATTTTATAATGGTCCGTTATCTAACTTCAATATTTATGAATAGCCGAATATGCTCTGGAATAAATCTCCTCTTCAGTTTCCGTCAATCATAGTTAGGTCAGTCAGTCAGTTGCAACGTAGAACTTCGTACGTATGTATATAAGTTCATGTTGCCATACCACATCCGAGGGAAACACCTCACTGCTGCTGTCACACCCCTCTACAGTCAGTCAGCAGTACGACTTCGTCCTCAGACCTTGAGTAGTTGCTTTTACTCTCATCGTTCTCCAATCGACCTGCCTGGCATGGTAGAACACCTTCAGGAACATATGTTCCAGCCAATATAGCTCGGTTGGGTCATCACGATAGGCAAGCCCGACCACCACGTCAAGGTAGCAGCTTCGGTCGGGAATCATACTTACATGAAGCCTGTTTGTGCGACGGCAGTAATTACAAGCCATATACAGATTTAGTTGGATGAGCTTATTTCATGCAATCTTACATGCAGACAGATATGAGAATACAAAGAGTCAAAACAAAGCAAAGCGAAGTGGAGGAGGCGAAAGAACCAACTTCATGCAACGAAACAAAATGAAAATTATCGTGTTAACTAGATGAAATAAAATGAACACTGCTTTACACTCGAACAGGGTGGAACTGCACTAGTCACAATTTCCCACTAGAACTTGGAGAGATACTTCCTCACGGAACTAGTCACTAGTGAGCACATGGTAATAATCTTCATCATAGGGTTTGATTCCCGTGAGGAGCAAGAGTAGTGGATGCACACTGAAGATATATATATATATGTGCATAGATGTATAGACGTATATATAGTATTTCAACTCGGTGTTTAAACTTTTAACAGGGTTTTTTAAAATAACCACAGCGTTTTTTAAAATTTTTTGTAATCCTTAGAATGTCAGAAATAAATAGAAAAAACAACTTGATTTCGAATCTATCAGGCCGCTACAAATATTATAAGGTTGTATAAAAACGAATGGCGAGTTGAGAAGAAAAAAACAGGAAAACCATCAAATAAGAAGATATGCGGTGATATTATCAATTTTGTTGAAGAATTGATAGAATTAAACCCGTTAATAACGATGGTAGAAATTCGAGAAAAAATAGAAAACATATTTTCTATAGGCCTTTCTCTTTAATCTATAAGAAGGATAATTTATAGACTTCAGATTACTTTCAAAAAGATTTCTTATACATCGGTCAATATAAATTCGGAATCCAGTAAAAACGGACGCCAAATTTATGCTCAAAATTTTATGAACATTGAAGATACATTTATAAAAGTTTTTATAGATGAATCTTCTTTTAATTTGTACTTAAGAAGAACCTTGGAAAGATCTACAAGAGGAAAACCGGCAAGTGCCCTAGTTCCATCAACGCGTGGAACCAATATAAGTTTAATATCGGCTATAACAGAAAATGAAGTTCTCTTTGCTAAAACATTTGTTGATTCGGTGAATTCAGATAAATTCATTCAGTTTTTTGATCAACTAATTGAAAAATGCAATCAAAAATCAATTTTTAAGAATTGTATTTTTATACTTGATAATGCGACGATTCATCACTCAATTATCACAAAAAACTTTTTTGATGAAAAGGGAGTAAACGTTATGTTTTTGTCTACCTATAGTTACATGCTTAACCCAATCGAATTCGCGTTTTCGAATATTAAATCCATTGTATATAAGAAGATCTCTGGCGAGCGGACCCAACGAATCTTTTATAAATCTAATACTAAATTCTGTAAATCAATTAACCAGGGATGATTTACAAGGTTATTCAAGACATGTACGTCGCAATTGTTTAAAAGCGATTGCTAAAGAAGATTTTAATTAAAAGTAGTTCTTATTTTATTTTTTCAAAAAAATTTTAAAAAATTTTTTGGTTATTTTAAAAAACCCTGTTAAAAGTTTAAAAAACGAGTCAAAATACTATATATATATATATATATATATATATATATATATATACATAAACACACACACACTGGGACTACTCACCTCATTTGGATTGACATTGAATTTCCTAACAAGTTCATCATTATGACTAGTTTCATCGGAATTAATATAACCAGCAGCTAAATGATCAGCTGCTCGGAAAGCAGCTATACAGTAACGTAATGGTGGTAAAGTCAACGGTTTGATAAATAACATTCTTGGTCGACTATCACGACGCCAACCATGATGGAATGCATTGATAAATGTATCATAATCATGAATAGTTTGTATTAATGGTGTATCAATTGTTGTACTAAGAAATATTGGTAATGCTTTCGATTGGGAAGGATTTGATTTCATAATGGCATTTCTTAACGCATCAATAAGACTATTATGACTGAAATCACCACGAGAGTAATAAGTAATCTGTGAGTAGAATTTTTTTTAAAAAAATAAAAAAAAGCAATCAGAAATCATTGAAGAAATAGTCTACATTGTTTGTACCAGCATTAAAAAAATTGATTTGATAAGATTTTTGTTAATTTTTTAACCGACGAGTAGAAGATACTCGTCGGTTATTGGTTTTCGATCATAGGTGTCTTCGAAGCATTGCTCGTATATCATGGGACACCCGAGTGAGCAACGCTGTTATTAGGAAACGGGTACTAGGTAAGAATGGCAGATCAATCGATGAAGTGGTGAAACTTCATGAGTTGAGGTGGTTGGGACACGTGTTGCGTATGCCTAACCAGCGACTCCCTCGTCGAGCTTTGTTTTGTAGTGTAGGAATAGGTTGGAAGAAAGTTAGGGGCGACCAGACCAAAACATGGCATAAATCCATGAAGTCATTGACGAGTGGACTTAGCCATGTCGGTAATTGTCGACTACCTGGTTGGGGTCCGCGAGATGATAATAATCGATGGTTAGAGACCTTGAATGACATGGCTCAAAATCGTTCGCAATGGCGCCAGTGCATTTATTCTTTGTGTTCTCTCAAATCCTAATCTTCTGGGTTCTTCAACACCTCTAGTTTTTACTTTCTAAACTTATCTCATTGAATCATACTTCGTGAATAATATCTTCTAATCGTAACCTCTCCGATTACTTCTAATACCTTTACTACCTCTACTACTATTGGATTTGAATTGACGATTACTTCTCTGTGCTGATGTGGTATGGCGACATGAACTGATGTACTTACGTACGAAGTTCTACGTTGCAACTGACTGACTGACTGACTAATTTTTACTTAAAAACACGAATATTTGTACAAAGTGGAGGCATGCAAAATATTCATGTGCTACACACAAATTATTGAATTCGTGAGTGGAACAGGATACTACTGTCTGAGCTGCCCCAAATTGAAGTAGATAGTTTTCGTAGGGGGAGGGGGACACTTTTCGAGCCTTTGACTTAAACGTCTAGTATATAAGGCGCTGGAGTAACGTAAGGACATGTAGTCTCACAGCAGTCAGTGACTGACGAATAATTTAAACTGGATGCAACCACAAGCACAGCTCAAAAGCGAGAATATTAACTCTATCAGCATTCGAACTGGTAATTATTGACTGAAATTAAAATACTTCAAGGATTAAGCAGCCAGTCCATAATGATCCTTTAATTAGATCTGTTGTCTGTTTAAACTAGCTTCTATCAATGGTACAACTTATTTTTTGTTACTTTACTGTGAAATACAATAATGTTTACTTTACCTAGCCAAAAATGGTTAATTGTATGTACATTACAGTCTCATACAAAAATAGTGAAATAAAATTTAAAGCACAAATCCAGAATATTGCAATTACTGAATATAAATACATACCGAGAAAAAATCTCACACATTATAGGCTCTGTAAACTAACCTGTCCATCAACAACTATTGTCACGCTTGGAACATGTAATACGCGTAACTCTTCACGCAATGCAGAATCATGTTCTAAATTAACACTAGCCACAGTGACCCCCAATGGAGTCAGCTCATCTGCTAATTGTGACCAAATAGGTCGAACTTGACGGCAAGGAAAGCAAAAATCAGAATAACCAAATATGAACAGAGGTACTGTTCGAGATCGTGGGAGATGGGTTAGGCGATAGCTTCGAAAGTCAATATTCTTTAAATAAAGGCAAAAAAACGATTGAAATCAATAGTGACACAATAATTTAAAAAAACTTTAGTTTATATTCAAATAAAAATTTTTCGAGCAGTTGTGCACTCAGTCACTGTAAAAAACTATTGATAATTGTCATGTTTGGTTATATTTCCTTCAAAAAAAAGCTGAGGTAAGATTGCCAGGGGCGAAACACTGCATTTACTTAAAGTCTAATCATTGAGATTTTTAAGGATATAAATTTTCTCCTTAATGTCTAGAAAAAGATAAATTTATTTAACATTGTGCTAGCAAGTTAAGATTATACTGACTAACAGCAGTGAGTTATTCACACACACACAGAAGAATAATTTAATGGTGAAAGCTCTAATTACCAGATAGGAACAAGACTACAGAACTTTTGTCCAACCTGCTCCTACACCCAATAACATTGCACGTTGATGTAGGTGGTGTTTGGGCATAGATAACAAATGTCCTAACTACCTATATTTTCTACACCAAAAGTGGAAAATGGTTAGCCGCATATTAGGATATTAGAAGTTACTAAATTTTCAGCACGTAAAACAACCCCTTGTAAGCATTAGGTGTCAGTTACATGTTCGGGCTAACAGAGTTACGCATAAACTTTCTATATCATTATTTTACTACATACATGCATAGACACAACAACCTTACATGATCAGTATAAGCATTGGGCAAATCAAGTGAGTTTTTGAATCAGTCTATATGTTTTTACGGAGTTAATAGTAATCTTTACAATATAGTGATTGTAAATAATCATAAGACTTACAAGAACATTGACTGAGAATTGGGGGGCACGGTTAAACCCTGGGAAGAAATCAAATAGTTCTTCAAATGGAGCATGCACAAATTCATGACGATAAGGATAATGCCCTGGAGGAGGTGCACTTCCATCTGCATGGACTTTTCCAAAAGTATCATACTCATGACGTTTCTTAGAATCAGATAGTACCTAAATAAAGCGAAAGATTGATAGAAACAAAATGCGAGTTGTCTAAAAATTACCTCGTAAGCCTCGTTTATTTCAATGAACTTTTTGTTGGCTTTTTCTGTAGGGTTCTTATCAGGATGCCTGAAGGGGTATCAAGCATTAACATGTTGGCTTTATAAAATTACCATTTCTTTGCCAGTTTTCTATAGGCCGCTTTGATTTCTAGATTTGAGGCGGATTTAGAGACCCCGAGTACATCATAATAATCACAAACAGCATAACGGATGAATAAGACCAACTGGATAAATAATAACAATTTCATCACCTGTAACACATAATTCAAACGAAGCGGGTTATCTTATGGTCAACTTGTAGTTTCAATAAGTGTACGAATTAGTATACACCAATCGATTCCTTTGCGCTCGATTCTTGTTGTTACATTGTGGTTGCAGGTATTTGGTAAAGTCCAATCCATGGTCACTAATTCTAGTCAGTTATTAATCTGTCTCATGTTTTATGTAAGTGCGTGTCTTAGGACAGTAAGGTTTCTGGATCCTAGCAGCTATCAGACTGCCCAGCTGAACATCAGCTAGCCTGAATATTTGGAATGATAATGAGAAAATTCTGATGAGAATAGGAAGAGGTAAATTTTAGAACTTTGGAAATAATTAAACTAGTTAACTAATTAGCAATGAAGATTGTGTGAGAGGACAAATGTGTAAGCAGAGAAGAACAAACAAGAATAAACAAGATCCTCTGATACAAAGCGACATGTGCCATGCAAGTTACCTGGCGAAGAAGCGTAGTGAGTTGAGAAAACCTTTACAAACATGGTTGACATCATTGGTAAACGAGGTATATCCGATACATATTTGAGGAAACAGATTGATAGGACAAGGGCTGAGTTTCTACACTGAGGAACATCTGAAACTCAAGACGGTTGTCAACTAACATTGAGGTAAGGGTTTTCAATGCAAACGTTGATTTTATCGTGATCACTGATCCTCATGTTTCGGCGTCTTGGGGAAAAATGTAAATTAAGTAGATGTTTAATATCAGATAACACTTGGTGGATTTGGCAAGATTTCGATACATAGCGGCTGCGTTCGGTGAGGGGCTGGTCAGCCAACATTTGGTTGTATTGCGGAAGGGTTAACGAACAGAAAGCGACCAATGAAGCCCGAGTTATCGCCGATAGTCTTCTACGTTGAACTGTACCTGTAGTAACGTGCCAGGTTTGCTGCTCGAGTTGACGTGCCAAGTTTGTCTATCGAATTGGCATGCCACACAAGCGTGGCTCGTATCCAGAGTCTGAGGATTGCGTTCGTAGGTGTTCGGACCAGATTAGGCTGCAGACGTAGGACGGAACCAGAATGAGCGAAGGAGTCAGAAACGACCAGTGCGAAACCATTCGTATACCAGATATATTCGTAACCAGAAAATCAACTGAGTGCATTGACAAGAGCGTGAGTGATCAGGCCAGCTTTCGCCAAGGTTGACTGAAGTCGACGGTACCAACAGGGCAATGGTCGGAAGTATTGGCTCGGGATAAAAAAGATCAAAGAAAGGGAGAAAAGTGTAGCATACATGTTGTATGAGGGTAAAATCCTATGCCGCAACCGTGGTTGATTGGTAGTTAGTCGAGAAAACGTACAGGTAGGCGTACGCAGCGATCGGAATGCGAGACAGTAGCTTCATGCGTACCTTATGAGCCTGCATTCTCATCTACAGTCAAGTGCGGTGTAGTTTGCTGATCTGGACGTGGGACCGGAGTCTCATTCGTAGATAGGGCAGGTGACGCGTGCTGCTGACTGGGAAGTGAGAATGAGGTCTTTGATTTGTCTAGCCCGGGATCAGAAGGAGAAATAAGGATCCCGCCAGTGAGTTGGACGAGTCCAGCATTAAATCTCGATTTACCAGATAAGGCACTGTCATTGACGTGTGCTGGTATGAGACGATTAATGCTGACTGTGGCCATCAACCTTGACGGTCTTTTCGTGACGAGAGATCACGTGAAAAGATCCTTCGTAAGGTTGCTGAGTACCGAATCTACTAGTAAGAAAACTTGCGGAGAGGTAAATAACTCTCGAGGGAGAGCAACTTGTCGATGTCATATTCGAGTTCCCACCGGAGGCAGTATTCATATCTACGCAGGTAGTCGTTGAACGTTATCTGATGTACATAAGATCGCTACTCCGTGGTGTGAAAAATTCCCCAGGCAGATGCAATGTCTTGCCGTATACGAGTTCGAAGGCGGAACATTGGATATCTGCCGTTGCTGCTGCGTAATCGCCATATCGTCCCCAACAAATGCCATCTTTCTGCGAACCGAGTGGACAGAGGAGTCTTAAGGTCTGTGAGAAAGACAAAGTAATACATATAGCAGGTGAACTGTCAAACTCATGCTTAGTGAAGACTAAGTTGTCCAGTGCCAGTCGGCGAGGTTTTGCCGTGACTGGGGTTCCGAAGGTGACGATGTGGCTTACCACATAATTAATCACCAGTTGGATCTCCTCGGCTTCGTTACTTTGGGGGATTTATCAAATATAACATGAAATAAACAGTAGTGAAAAAAATTCGGTACATATCTGTTTACGCGTAAAAACCATGGCTTTGATATTCGACGAAGTATCGATTAACGCAGCCTACGTGAATCGATTAGCAATTCATAGAGCTGTAAGGAATCGATACCGAGTACGGCTATGGGAACATCAGAAGGGATGAACCTACATAGATACTGTCGTCGATTATTCAGGTTGATAGTTAGCTGTCGTGTACCGTAGGTAGGAATGACAGAACCATTCGCAGCGCGTGGTAAAGCATCGTAGCTTGTGACTTGCTGCTACCAAACGATACGACAGAAACTTGGGCACTTGTGGCAATCAAGTACTTAGCGTTAGCGCGAAAGTCCAGCACGTAAAATAAACTAACCACCTGAAGTGACGGAGAGGAGACAGGTGAAAATGCAATGACCTGCACCTCGGAGTTTATTATTATAGCTATCTAGCATTTCGAAACGTTGTTGCAAGTATAATATATATTAAAGACATTATTATTAGTATTGCGACATTATAAAAATGGTGATAGACGAATAATAGACTCACCGTAATTGACTTCTTTTGAAGAAACGTCGGTCTTACCAATTGTGGTGAGCGAGTCGAGTCACGAATATCAAAACAAATACATGGTCCAATGCTTTATTTAAGGAGACGGTAGGCATTACATCTGGAACAGCAAATAAAGAAAAATGGCAGCAACGCGACGAGAACGTTGCGCGCAAGAATTGGAAGAAGTGTTTTTGGTACAGTTAAACAAAACGAGTACAATGATGTTTACTTTTCACAAATCACCTTTTCTTCGTAGAAGCGTTCCACTACACATCAAACAGAAATCCTTCTACGTATCACTAAAATATGAAAATACCAGAAGAAATTACAAGGAAAACTTGCATCAGGATAAATCATCTTTGAAATTATTTTGTTGAGAAATTCCTAATAGTGAAACCTTTGTGAGATTTCAACAGGGCTTTTAAGTCATGTTCATCATATGAGGCTAAAATTAATGATAATAATTTATTCTCAAATAACAACATGTCACATGGGTAGCTTAGTATTTTAAAAAATGAGGTGACGATTAACGACAGACCATCATTAAATGTGTGACATCAATCATTCATTCCCAGTGAATGTGAAGGGGCGGAAATTGGTCTACATACAATGGGATTATCGGCATACTCAAAAGAAATTTTTTGTCATAGGATGATCGATTATATAAAAAAATTCGAGGGAACCGAGAAAGGAATGTTCGATATTGCAAACCTCCTGAACTTGGAAAAGACGTTGAGAAGTCTTCTCTGAGCATAGTTCCCTTACAGTGAGGCAAGAACTCAGACAGCTGATTATATATCCGTCATTATTGAGGCTAGCAAGCTATTTTAGTAGAAGTGGTCTTGATATATATTCAAAACGCAGAATTATAGCCTAGAAATACGCACAAAACCTATTTATTATCCGTTTTTTAGCTGAGCGATAGATTAAGATACACGACGACAGCAATACCCAAGGTACTTTATATGTGTGGGCAAATCGACACGAAAACATACGTTCCTTTAATTTAGATAAAGGAGAAGCAGTGTGTAGATGAATTTTCTACCGTAGCAGTTCACTTTGATTCCAGCAGGTGTAGGTCGAACGCTCCCTCCCCTAGTCCAATATCAGAACACAATAACTCTAGGAGAAAGTGGTCTGACAATTAATACACCTTCCAAGTCAAATTTACCCTGATGCGTATCCAAATACAAAAGAATAAGTGATACCAGTGTTAACTGCTTCGGTACCAAATCCAAATATGGCTGTAGCCATATTAAAATATCAAATTTAAACAACATATGTACGGTTCAGAAGGAAACATAAAAACTTCAATATAAGTACAAAATATGGAAATAATAACTATATACAATGATGAAATCTCAAAATGGAATCAAATAGAGTACCAAAATGTCAACAGAAAGAGTCAGTCATATCATAACACAAATATATATACATGGAGGGATTTTCCAAAAAACAAAACATTCAAAAAAGATTTTACACAGTGAACGTTTTTCAGATGCTTGGAAAAAAAGTGAAGTTAGTGGTGTAGGTCTTAAAATTGCATTCTTATTGCCAAATACTCTCTTTGGTATTTGATTTATCCTTATCGTTGTGCATTGTCTTGGCAGCAAATGTGTTTGGAAAGATTTATTAAAAGTGCCATTGAATCGATGATTCAGAATAGCTGCACAATTCTTGGAAAAGAGGTATTAGTTTTCATCGTTTTCAGAACACTGTGATGAGTTAGGTGACTTGAGATATTTTCGGACATCATTTTCATTGGAATTTAGAAAGCAACTCGTGTATATAGGACGCATGAAATCATTTGATTGGTGTGCAAAAGACTTGTTCAAGCCGCAAACATTCAGCTGGTTCTCGCCACTAATGAGTTTCGCACCAGCAAGTGCTTCAAATGCATCAGACATATAAGTTGGGTAATGACAAGATAGGTGTTTCCAAGTAGGTAGTGAATTCCAAAATCCGATATTTTGGTGTAGTGGACCATTTACCTTCTCATATTTAGTTGCTTTTCTTTGTGTAGATTACTCTCTTTTTCTTTCTCTGCAATCTATTCGGTCATAGGGATCTCAGTGAAAACGTATAAATATAGTCCCAGAGACACTGTAGAATTCTTTTTGAATGTTTTGTTTTTTGGAAAATCCCTCCATGTTTACATAATTTTGCTATGACATGATGGACTTTTTCTCTTGACATTTTTGGTATTTTATTTGATTCCAATTTGAGATTTTATCATTGTATATT